CTTCTTCAAGGGTCTAGGCCCGAAACGTCAGCCTTCCTGCTCCTCTGATGCTGCTTGGCCTGCTGTGTTCATCCAGCTCTACACCTTGTTATCTCAGATTCTCCAGCATCTGCAGTTCCTACTATCACTGATAAGGCTTGTATTTGTTGTCATAACTGACCTTGACCTGAGAGGCTTGCGATGCTATTTGAGGATAGTTTAAGAAATTGTCGTATTGCTGTGGGTTTGAGGCCACACGTAGGACAGGCATCTTTCCCTGCCTAAAGGATATTTGTGAACCAGCTGGGTTTTTATAATTGATAGTTTCACTTTCACCATTACTGAGACTGGCTTTGAATTTCCAGATTTTATTTATTAAACTTAAATTTCACCAACTTCTTTAGTGGAATTTGATCCTGTGCCCCCATGGGATTAGCTTGTCACTGTTGAAAGTAACAATTGAACATGTGTTTTGAAGTACTGCATTACACAGTGTTGGAATTTGCTATGCCATTAGACTGCCCATCATCCAACCTATCTTGTGGATGGTTCGGATCTTACTGGAGTAGGGCATTTTATAACTTTCCCCAACTTTGCCCTTTAGCTTGGTTTTTTTTCCCTACCCAACAAATGGCTGGAAATTAGTTAATAACTGCACAACAAGGGCAACAGAACAGAGGAGTGGCTGGACTGGTGGTCATCTTAATCAATAAGATTTAATGATGTTGAAATCGACACCGATGACACCAGTTGGAAATAGGGTCAATTAGAGTCAAATCAGATACAGAAAAAGACGGACAGCAAGATCTGGATTAGGAACAGTAGAAATGGTAAAATAAGGCCCCAGAGATTAGGGTTGTTCCCTCTCTGGGTCAGAGAGATTGATGGCAAGAACTTGAACTTTGCCTTTAAAAAGTTGACTTAAACGGTTGAATGCTAACCCCATCGCAATAATTAATGCAGAAGCCTGCAATGTTGTGAAATGATTGAGCGTAACCATTTTTTTAAAACAAGACTAATGGAAACCATACAAACCACCAGCAACTTAGACTTCATTGGATATGTTTTCCTTGCCATAAGTTACTGGACAATTTATACATTAATAATGCTGAGCTTAGTTAAATTGACTATAACATTGATAGGGAAATCTGAGCTAACCTTTTACCAACATCCTACTGTAATCTCATGGCCATTAATGATTTTTGAACAACTAAGTACAGCAATGAATCTTTCTATTGACCATCCTGGCCTCCCCATTTCTATAAATCGGTTGTCAGTGCCAACTGCTCTATGTTCTAATAACTCATGCCCTGATAGTTCTTCACCAGAAATAGGGCCATGTTCTCCTGTCAGCCTCCATCTGTGAGCGACACCCTAACTTCCTTTCTGACCTGTGGGTGAGAAGCCAGCTGCAGTTTGCATTAAACAGTTTTCTTGTGATTCTGTTTGGAGTAATTGGGTAGAGGAAGCCTGATAACTGAGATGGGAATTAAGTTGCATTCACTGTCTTTCAGATTTCTGTGGTATTTGTTTTGCAACATTGCAAAAGAAAGGTATAGGTTGGGAGTAAAAATTATCTCCTGTTAGAAGTTAACAATAATTTGCTCTGTCTCTAAATCGTCATCACATCATTTCAAAGGGAATTTGTCAACATTTTTCCAATGACTCAATGAATAGCTGTGTGCCCAGGAAAGTTGGTAATATCACTGTCATTGACATGGCCTTATCAGTGCCTCCAACTAACAGAAGCTTGAGAGAGTGGGAGAAGATGCCAAAAGAAACTGGACAATTGATTGAGGGCCACACACATGGTGGGACTGGGAATTGGGTCGCATTGACTTGCATTGAAGGGGAACAAGATGAGCGGTGAAATGAGTTTCACGGGACTATTCTTGAAGCAATAGGAGTAGCAAGTATAAAATGGAGGAAAACTGGAAAACTTTACTGTCTGTGTGCAGAAACACAAACTTTAATTCTTTCTTTGGTAATGTTGAGTAGTTCAACTGATCCTTCTGTTTAAATAGCAGCATTATTTAATTCAATGCACAATACCTTTTAGAAATTGTGCTTTTTAAAAGATGTTGTTTTTGGATGTCTGTATTGCATGGTGTTTTGCAGCACCAAAATTGGTCTCTGCTGTTCTTGCTACTTGGGAGTTCCCACCAAACTTTCACCTCAACTAAATTTGTGGATTTTACTTTGTGCTTTGTGAAGGATTAATGCATCCCAGTGTAACTAATTTATGTTGGCACTGCCATGTGATAAGAATATTGGTTACTTGGAATGTTGTGTGGTACACAATTAAGGTCTTAGAATATGCTTGATGTGTACATTCTAACCTCTTATAGAGAATGTATCTTAAATTGAGTTTTTTAATTTAATTTTTAAGTTGCATTGTGTGTGCAAAATATATTGGCTGTCTTTATTTGGCCTTTTAAATTCAGGTGATCAGGCCCGAAACTTCTTCCTTCAGTCTGGATTACCTCCACCTGTACTTGCACAAATATGGTAAGTTCCAAGTTTGTGCTTTAAGTATATTTTTAATGGCTAAACAATTTACACAAGAAAGAACTGTTTTAAAATAAGTATTGTTCTTGAATGGTACTTTTGCAGTTTGCTTGTTGTGAAGGACTGAATCAATGATATTCATAAATCTGTGATATTCGAAAATATTGTCAACTTTATATTTGGAAATTAGTTAGTAAGAAGTATTCCTATTATACAGTCCTTTAGAACTTAATACCATTTAAGCCTCATGCTTATCCAAGATGATTTACAGTATTGAGTAATTTCTTCTAAACTTCCTGTCTTCTGGGTGATTGAGGAAACATAACTCAGCAATCTAATGTACTTGTGCCATTTTATCTGTTGGTCTTGACTAGTTTGTAACTTACAACTTGGGTCAGTTGGTCTGGCTGCTGAATGTAGTCAGTTGCTGGAAATGTGGGCAGATTAGAGTTTCTCAAAACCTGACATGAGAGAATCACAGCAATAAGTGCTGTTCACTGGGGCAGTATGGTGGCTGAGTGGTTAGCAGCCCCTCACAGCTCCAGGGACCGGGTTTCAATTCAGTCCTCAGGCTGCTGTCTGTGGAATTGGCACATTCTCCCTGTGTCTGCATGGAGTTCCTCCTGTGTGCTCTGTTTCCTCCCTCAGTCCAAAGATGTGCAGGTTAGATGGATAGGCCACGCTAAATAACCCACCGTGTTCAGCGAGGTGCAGGCTGGTTGGATTAGCCATGGGAAATAAAGGGTTACAGGGATATGGTAGGAAGTGAGTCTGGGTGGGATGCTCTTTGGAGGCTCCGTGTGCACTCGATGGGCCAAATAGCCTACATACACACGTGATTAAGTTCTTTGTTAGGCAATGCGCTGGAGTTAGTCCTCAGGAATGTGACTCATAGCTGTATTTGTGATTGGAGGCGGAAAGACTAAAGTGGGAAGCCAAAGCAATGGCTTTTTTAGTTTGTTTCCAAATCACCTACAGTTCATCAGTGCAAAATTATTTTAATTCCTGACAGTGATGTTTTTTTTTTTGTTTTGATCTCCTTGTCTTTTTGTGCCCTTGATGGATAACAGCACATTTCTGTAAAGAATAAACGTGGTGATACATGGATATTTCATGTAATTGTGTTCTTTCATATACTTCAGTTGATGAGTAATTTTGGGTGTTGAGTCTCTACTTTTCCAGCTTTTGCATAAAATAAATCTGTACAGTTGTACCCAGAAAGACTATAGAAATTTTGATTGTGATAGAACTATAAGAAATACTTGAGTACTATGCAAGTTAGCAGTGCAAAAGTAAAATACTGTGAATTTTGGTAATGAAAGCAGAACGCTGCGAATACTCAGCAGGTCCAGCAGAGCTGAAATGTTTACTTTCCTACCAGTTAACTCTAGTTAACTTTTTTTTAAATCACTCTGCAAATGCTGACCAGATCTTCTGAGTATTCACAACATTTGAATTGCCAGCATTGACTGACTGACTTTTTTTTGTTCATTTCTTTCTGAAGGGCCCTGGCTGACTTGAATAATGATGGAAAGATGGATCAGTTGGAGTTTTCTATAGCCATGAAACTGATTAAGCTAAAACTGCAGGGTCATCCACTTCCCTCAACACTGCCTCCCATAATGAAACAAATACCAGTAGCCATTTCAACAGCAGGATTTGGTTAGTGTCATTTGTTTTACAAATAACTTTTTTGTTTTCATTGACTTTGATCACTCAGTGTTAACTATCAACTTTCTGCCAATGTCTGCCTTTATTTTTGAAAGGTCAATTTTTTTTTTTACCATCGCAACATTAGAATACAGTTACTCTACTAAAATGTCTTTTTATTCTCCCCACTAAGGCATTGGTAATGTTTCAGCAATGTCCTCAATGGTCGCAGTAGCACCTTTGTCGATGGCAGCAATACCAGTGGTGGGTATGTCACCACCATTGGTGTCTTCTGTTCCAACAGCAGGAGTTTCTGCACTAGCCAATGGGGCACCTTCTATGGTACAGCCTCTACCTGCCTTTGCTCATACGGGTGAGTTCAATTTTGTAAACTAAGTGTAGATGGTTCACGTGTGAGAGACTGTTATAGGCAGCTGATTTATTATTTTGTCTTGGTGCATTGAACAAGAACTTTGAAAATGGGAAAATAAATTAATTGGGACAAATAGGCCGATTACCTTAGATGGATCAGCTCCAAATATCACCTCATTCTGTCCCTCAATCCTTTTTTCCTCCAGAAATTATACCATGTACCTGTCCACTTCACTAGGCATCTTTTAAATTTTTGCATGCTCTGTTGCTGTTTGGAGAGGAACAAGTTCTGTCTAATTTGTCTTTACAATTTCTTAATAACATCTTTATAGGACCTTGAAAACATTCCATTAAGTAACCCCACAGTCTCATTATTCCCAAATAGAGAAGCTTAACTTACCCCATAAATTAATTATTTAATACTGATATTAATTTTGTGGCTTCTCTTTGTACCCTCTTGAGCAATGGTTCAATGTCAAAAGATATAGATTCAGAGATTTTTCTCTCATGTTTGAAATTGGAAAATTACGAGCTAATTTGAAGTAAGTGATGCAATTTCATACGATGTACAAAGACCTCGGGGTTTATAAATGCAGATCTCTGAAATAGCATGACAAGCTACTAAGTCTGTTTCTTCTAAAGCAGAAATCTTATGCTTTAAAAATTGAGGCTCAGAGTACAGAAGTGAGGAAGTTAAGGCTAATGTTTATAAATCAATGGTTATTCCTCAGCTGGAATATTGTCCCTTAGTCTGAGTTCAGAGAGAATTTGCCAGAATCGTACCAAGATGGGTGACCTCTGTTATGGGGAAGGACTAGATAAACACAGATTGTTTGGTTTGGAGTGGAGAATGTTAGCAGAGATGTCAATATCAGAGTTTCAACAGGATAAATGGTGGGAAACTCTTGTTGCAAAAAGGTCACACATCAAGTTAATTGGCAAATAAGTTCAAGGGAGAATTTTATGATCTGCAATGTGCTACCTGAAGAGTGGTAGAAACTGATGAAAAAGCAACCTTTTTAGAAGGTAATTAGGTATGTACTTAGGAATAAATTTACAAGGGTTTGGGAAAGAACAAAATCGTGGATTAAGTAGGTAGCTGTTTCAAAAACAAACTGCAAGGACGTGATTGCCTGAGGGCCTAAGAGCCATGTCAGTGTTTCCATGAATCATCCAGTATTTATCAATCAATCAAGTTATACAATTGTTTAGGTTGGTAATCAAAAGCTTCATCCTCGCGTTTATTTCAGGATCTCTGTTCAAGTGGATGAAGCTGGTTATTCAGCGATTTTAATTTATCCAAACTTTAAAAAAAAGTTTACTCCCTTTGCATCATGACATTTAACTGTTTCTCAAGTCTTTGTCATCTTGGCTGACAGTAAAACATCCCTGTATTGTGATCGCTGGTTTCCATGACCAAGTTCTTGATATCAGTTGTAGATTTGCCATTTGCCATTTGCCAAATGAGTTGTCACTTGTCTGATCTTTGTTACTGATCCAATTCTTACATAATCAGTGCAGTTGTGTATACCTCTAGATGGACAATTTCTCCCCTCTTTTCAAACACATGTCAGTGCCTCTTGGGAATCCGTTTCATGTCCTTTGTGTTAATCATTTCTCAAACTTGAATGTTCTCCTTGCGTCTCAATGAACAGAACAAAAGATGATTCTGATTGCCCTTGCTTAACAAGCTATACATTTTGAGCATAAATTGCTAAATTTAGCAGTGTTCAAATACTTGGAGTACTTCACTTAGTGCTGGAGGTGGCAGAAGTGACAGCTTATGATCCTTTGGCCTCGGAAATGTCCACCTTACTCCTTCAAATAAGGGTTTACAGCTTCTGTGGTTGACAAGACCCTCGGCCATGTCCATTCCATTTTTCAGGCTTCTGCCTCACCCCTTCCTTCCCATGGTGTCCCGTTGGTCCTCACTTTCCACCCCACCAGCTTCTGTATCCAAAGGATCATAAGCTGCCATTTCCGTCACCTCCAGTGGGATGTCATCACCAGGTACATAATCCCCTCCCGTCCCTAGTCAGCATCCACGGGGGGCGTTCCCTCTGGGATATCCTGGTCCACTCCTCCCCCACACTCATCACTACCCAAAGCTCCGTAGCACCTTCCTGTATGATCACAGAAGGTCCAACACTTGCCCATTTACCTTCTCAATCCTGACAATCTGAAGCCTCAGACACACCTTCCAGTTGACGCAACAATTTACCTACACTTCATTCAGTCTAGTCTACTGTATTTGCTCACTCTGGTCCACTCTACAATGACAAGATGCAATGCAGACACAGAAATAAACGCTAGGCTGAAGCTTTTTATTACTAATCTAAACAATTTGCTGAACACCGACACTCTGTCTGTAGCAATGACCCTAAGCTTCCAGCTGCTTGCCACTTCAACACACCACTGTGTTCTCATGTCAGCATTTCTGATTCAGGCCTTCTGCAGTGCTCCAGCGAAGCTTAACACAAGCTGGAAAAACAATACCTCCATCTTCCACCTAGGTATCTTAGAGCTTTCAGGACTCAACATTGAGTTTAACAGCTTCAGAGCATGAACAGTCAGAGTCATACAGCATGGAAACAGACACTTTTTGGTCCAACCAGTCCATGCTGAACTAGTCACACCTGGTCCTGGTCCTGGTCCATATCCCTCCAAGCCTTTCCTATTCATATGTTTATCCAAATATCTTTTAAATATTGTAATTGTACCCACGTCCACTGCTTCCTCTGGAGGTTCATTTCACACACGAACCACCCTCTACATAAAAAAATTTGCCCCTCATGTCTCTTTTGAATCTCTCTCCTGTCACCTTAATGTGACCTCTAGACCTGAAATTCCCCATCCTTAGGATTGATGGCAGTTGTGTTTTCCTATCTATACCTCTCATTATTTTATAAACTTCTTTCAAGTCGCTTCTCAATCTCCTAAACTCCAGTGGGGGGAAAAAAGTCCCAGCCTATCCAGCCTTTCTTTATAACTCAAACCTTCCATACCCAGCAACATCCTGGTAAATCTCTTCTGAACCCTCTCCAGCTTAATAATAATCTACGTGTTAACTGGGCAACCAGAAGTGGGCACAGTATTCCAGCAGAGGCCTCACCAATGTCCTGTATAACCTCAACATGACTTCCCAACTCCTATACTCAAAAGACTAAGCAATGAAGGCAGGCGTGCTAAATGCCATTTTAATCACTGTGGTTATATGCGATATAAACTTGAAAAAATTATTTACCTGCACCCCTAGGTCCCTCTGTTCTACAATACGACCCAAGGCCCTACCATTAATTGTATAAGCCCTACCCTTGTTTGTTGTACCAAAATGCAATACCTTGCACTAATCCAGATTGAACTCCACCTGCCATTTTTCAGCCCATCGACCCATTATGAAGATCTCTTCGTAATCTTAGAAAATCTTCTTTACAGTGTCTACTTTGCCACTAATTTTGGTGTTGTCAAAGCTTACTCATCTTCCTCCATGTTGATGATCTACCCCTGCAAACCCTAGGTATTGTTTTGTACAGAATGCTCCCAGCACTGCCAACCCACTTTCAACCATTCTCACTTGTTAACACTCTACTCAGCATTTAACTCCCTTTTAGCTTAGCAGTAATCCTTTTGTTTGCTCTCCATTTTTTTCCCCTCCTTCTCCCCTTCCCCCACCTTCCCTCTCCCCACCCTCCCTCTCCCCACCCTCCTCCATATTCACTCTTTCCCTGAATCCACTCCTGTCAACAGCAAAAATACCACCCTTTCCTTGCTGTTTTCAGTTCTGACAGTCACTTGACTCAAAACTTGGACTCAGTTTTTCTCTATACAGAGGCTGTCAGACTTGCTGAGTTTCTCCAGTACTTCTATTTTAGTTTGATTTCCAGCATCAGCAGTTCTTTGTTTTATTTTCTTGGTTGGTCGTGCTGACATAGTCAATTAAGAAATTAGTTTGCATAATATGCATAATCAGCCTCATACGCTCGAACTTGATATGTGGGTAGTGTTGATTATTGGATAAGAGGAATTGCGTGGATAGCTTTTATGTCATTTACCTTCTCCCCAACTCTAACACAAAGTTTAAAATGACATGCGTCTCATTTAAGGAGGATACAGCAATGGATGCTTAAAGCTCAACTGAGAAATGGTGAGATCAAGGATGGAGAACCATAAGTGCAGTTTTAAAAAAAAAAAAAGCTCGGTTTTATTAAAACTGAGAAGGAGATAGTAAGCTTCATGGTACTTGGAATTAATTCTCGAGGCTACGATGTACAATGGATTAATGTTAATCTACCACAGCAGGGAGGGAATGATGGATTGACATAAAAAGTAGCAATGACATAAGAGTGTGATAAGGTTGGGAAATAAGACGGGAAAAGATAACCAAGTTTGGCTGGAAGGAAACATTGAGGGATGGGGATACAAGATTGAGAACTTAGAAATTTGTTTTTATGTTTTGAATCTCCTAGGAGCCACATTGCCAAAGAGTTCTTCGTTCAGTCGCTCTGCATCAGTCAGTCAAGCAAATGGAACAAAACTGCAAAAGGCACAATCATTTGACATAGGAAATGTCACGTGAGTTTGTCACCTAAGCTTGAGTTTCATTTATACTGATTTATTTTGTGTTTGTTTCATTGAAACAGTACAAATTGCTTAATGTGTCTGAAAAGCCAAAGTAATATAGCTCAAATAATGAGATCATTTGTTAGAAGGAGCTCCAGTTTAAGGGCAAGGCAACAAAATGCTTTGTTTCAGTCCCTCCGCTTTGCTTTTTGTTTTAAAGTTGTTTGTTTAGGTGATCTATATACATCTTAATAGAACTGTATGCTTTTGCTGGCATAATATACCAACTTGGATACAATTAAATTCTGATTGTCATTAGCCATATGCATAAGCTAGTTGCATAGAATGTGGGAAGTAGGGTCCTATGATGAAGTGGTAATGTATCTATGTTTGTGCCAGAAAATCCACATTTAAGTCCCCTCTGCCCCAGTGGAATTTTAATCGATCTTGGCATGTCACTCCCATTACTCGCCCAACAGATTTGATTTTGTGTGGGAAGTTGTTTTGGATCTTTTTTTGGTCTTGCACCCAGTGATCGTCATTCACAATTGCATGGTTCATTGCTCCTTCTGATAAGGACATAGTGAGTGCTGATCCTATTTTATGCAGAAACACTGCACTGACAAGGACTGAGGGATGACATGGCAGGAAGATGTTTTGAACAAAGCATTAGCAGGAGTAATTTTATCTTGAAGTTTTATTTTTGAGAAACGCATTGTGCTGAGGAATAATAATTGAAACAAACATTAATTATCTGTGCCTTCAGTATTGAAAGCACTTATGCCTATGTTAACGCTTAAACTGAGCTGACCAGGGAGAGGTGAATTCAGAAATAAATGGCTGGATATCATACAGCTAATCCACTGTGTGATAGTCACAGCAAAATTTATGATATAAGGAAGCATCTAAGTGCAACTTGTACACGAACAATGTTGAATTCAGTCGATATGGTTTTCTTATTTCAAGACTGAATGTTGTAGTGAGAGACTAGAAATTGATTGCCTCTTTCTTCTCTTGAAAATGCAACGGCTTGTCTGCAGATTTATTATACTGCATTGCAGTAACATAAAAAATAGGTGCAGGGGTAGGCCATTTGACTGCCTGAATCTGCTTCACCATTCCATGTGATCATGGCTAATCATCCAACTCAGTAACCTCTTCTCACTTTCTCTATATACTCTTTTGATCCCTTTAGTCCTCAGAAATACATCATTCTCTTTCTTGAAAAAAATGCAATGACTTCGCCCTAACTGCTGTCTGTGGCAGAGAATTCCACAGGCTCGCCACTCCGGGTGAAGAAATTTCTCATGTCTGTCCTAAGAGACCTACCACTTATCCTTAGACCATGATCCCTGATTCTGGGATTGTCTCGTCGTAGAAAACATCTTTGCTGTAATTACCCTGTCTAGTCCTGTTAGAATGTTTATAGGCTTCTGCGAAATATCCTGTTCCCTGCGACCCCTTCCCCCACTAATTGGTCTAAACTCCAGTGAATAAATTCCTAACTGATCCAGTTTCTCTTAATATGTTAGTCCTACCATCTCAGGGCTCCATCTGGTAAACCTTTGTTTCAATCCTTCCAAAGACAGAATGACCTTCCTTAGATAAGGAGACCAACACCAGACACAGTACTCCTGCTGTGGTCTAACCATGGCCCTGGAGAATTGCAAAAAGACAGCCCTGCTGCAGTGGGACCCTCTCACTATGAAGGCCGGTGTACCATGGGCCAAATACTGGCAAATGGGAATAGGTCAGATTGGGATGTCTGGGCGACGTGAACTTTGACTGAAGGATCTGTTTCTGTGCTGTATGATACCTTGTCAGATGATTAAATGGAAATAGTCAGTGGAAACATTGTGTGCCAAGAAAGAATAGATAAATAATCCGGGTGAGCCACCATTGTTGATGCTGTCTAATCGTGGCACCCAGCAAAGATGCCTCAAGCTTTCTAATCCAGAGATGCCTGTTGGGAATTTGTTTGAAATTGTTTGGAGACTGGGTTGGGCACATGAGAGTTTTCTCTGTTGATCTTAAGCAATTAAATTTGTTGTAAGTTTGAAGATGGGTTGGAATGTTTGTTCATACAGCATTGAATTTATTTTAAAGCAATTGGGCTTCAGTCAACATGAACCCAAATGAGTAACTTAAATATTTCACTCACTGTTACCGCAGACAAGCAAAGAGAAAAAGTTGCTGCTTCATTAATGTTGCTGCAAATGGACTGTTTTGGACTTGGTCTAGCCAGTTGCCAGGCTTACAGTCTTTTCATCATTATTTCTTTTACCCCGCTCTAGGAGCAGAACTACCCCTCACCTCAATTTTTGTGTTCCAGAAATGGCATGACTGACATTATGAACTTTTTTATTGTTCTGTTGGGTACAAGAGCATTTTCTACCTACGGTACAAAAAATACTCTGAAGGCATCATTCTATGGCTTTTTTACTGAGCATTTTTATGTCTGGTAGTTCAAGATTAGATTAACACAACTAACTTTTAGGGCATTGTATCTCTTGACATACCCAGATAACAGACATTTGGTCACTTGCAAAAAGAGAATAGTGTAGAGAACAAGCAGCACTGCATTTGTAATGCAACAGATAACTAGCATGAATTTTACTTTTAAGTCAGTCTTAGTTTCAAAGTTTGTGTTACAATTTAATGGGCATCAAGTTTGGTCAGACTTTTTGCACAAAAGACAAAATATATGGAATATATGCCCTTGGCTGGTTTGGTTGAAGTATATTGTTTAAGAAAACTGTCTTTAGGGAGAATTAAATTTATTTTTTTTACCGAATGTTTGACCTGTTTTATTTTGGTATGTTTTAGTGTGCCACCTTTGGCTGCTGGTATAGAGTGGGCTGTTCCACAGTCGTCGAGGTTGAAATACAGGCAGCTTTTCAACAGTCATGATAAAACAATGAGTGGACATTTAACAGGTAAGAGGCAATGTCGAATGGGTCATTGCATTTCAGGTCAATACCAGGCTTTGATGAGGCAAGCACAGCAAAATAAGATCAATGTAAGAGCACTTTTTTTCCCTTCTAAGTCAGTTAGTTGTTAAGGGGGCAGAGGTAGCAGTGGTGTGGTATGCTCCTCCTGTCAAATGTGGGAGATCAGGGAGCAGTCAAATGCTGCTGGCAACTATGTCTGCACAAAGTGTGTTTGCCTGTAGTTCCCTTCACACTGCATGGAGCAGTTGGAGTGGGAGTTGGAAGCCCTGAGGAACCGAGAGGAGGCAGAAAATCTGATAGCTTCAGGGAGGTGGTCACACCGCAGGTTGAGTCAGGTAGATAGGTGACTGTCATAAGAGGTAGCCAGGTAGTGCACGAGTCTCCTGTGGCTATTTCCCCCTCGGACTAGTATACTGTTTTGGATACTATCAGGGAGGGCTACCCCCTCGGGAGCAAATAGCCAGGTCTGTGGCACCATGACTGGCTCTGCTGTAAAGCAGGGCATTGTAAACATGGATGAGGTCCTGCAGATTTAACATAGGAAATTGGGCAGGAGGTTTAAAAGCAGGACCTCGAGGGGAATGATCTTTGGAATACTCCTGGTGCCACATGTTAGTGAGAGTATAAATATGAGGATGGGACAGATGAATGTGTGGCTGAGAGCAGGAGGCAAGGATTCAGATGTTTTGATCATTAGGATCTCTACTGGGGCAGAAGTGATCTGTACAAGAGGGGATGGGTTGTACCTGAACTGGAGGAAGACCAATATCCTGGCAGGCAGATTTGCTAGAGCTACTTGGGAGTGTTTAAACTAGGCTGGCAGGGGTGTGAGACCCGAAGCAGTAGTGAGACAAGAGAGATGGTTGAGACTGGTATAGAAGTTACAGACCAAGTTAAGTATACAAGGCAGGCAAGAGCATGGCAGAGAACGAAGGAAGACTAAAGGAATTAAAATAGTTATTTCAATGCAAGAGGCCTGACAGGTAAGGCTGATGAACTCGGCATGGTTGGGAACATGGGACTGGGATATCATAGCTATTACAGAAATGTGGCCGAGGGAGCTACCAGACTGGCAGCACAATGTTCTGGGCTACAGATGCTGTAGGAAGATTAGATGAGAGGAGGGGGAGTGGCATTTTTGATTAGGGAAAATATCACGGCAGTACTTAGAGGATATTTCTGAAGGTGCTTCCAGTGAAGCTATATGGATGGAAATGAGAAATAAGAAAGGGGGTGACCACGTTGGGCTTGTATTATAGGCCTCCCCAGTGGTCAGCGGAAAGTTGAGTAAATATCTAGGAAGATTGCAGATGATTGTTATGGGGGATTTTAACTTTGCAAACATAGATTGAGACTGCCATAACGTTAAAAGTTTGGAAGGGAAGGAATTTGTGTGTTAGAGAAAACCTTCTCAATCAATATGTAGATGGCCTGACAAAAGAAGGGGCAAAACTCAACTTGTTCTTAGGGAAATAAGGCAGGGCAAGTGACAGCAGAGCACTTTAGGACAGGTGACAAAAGTTCTAGTTTTAGAATAGTCATGGAAAAGGATAAGCCTGGTCCACGAGCTGAAGTTCTGAACTGGGGCAAGGCCAATTTTGATGGTGTTAGACAGGAACTTTGGAAAGTTGACTGGGGGAGGCGATTTGCAGATAAAGGAATGTCTGAGAAGTGGCAAGCTTTGAAATGCACGATAACAAGAGTTCAGGGCTAGTATGTTCCAGTTTGTTTGAAAGGCAAGACTGGCAGGGGAGGGAACACTGGATGACTAGAGATACTGCTGAAGAAAAAGGAGGAGGCATATGTCCGATTATAGATAACTGGGATCAAATGAATCCCTTTAGTTTCGGGGGTGTAGGGACACCGTTAAAGAAATCAGGAGGGAAAAAGGGAACATGAGATAGTTTTGGCAGAGAAAATTGTGGGGAATCCAAAGAGACTCTACAAGTGTATGAAAGGCAAAAGAGTAACTATGGAGAGAATAGGACCCCTTAAAGAAAAATAAGGCTGTCTATTTGTGGAACTGTAGGAGATGGGTAAGATCGTGAATGAATATTTCGTGTCTGTATTTACTGTGGAGAAAGACATGGAAGCTAGGGAACTCGGGGAAATAAATAGTGTTGTCCTGAAAAGAGACCACATTATAGATGAGGAGGTGTTGGAGGCCTTAAAACACAAAGGTGGATAAATTCCCAGGACCTGATCAAATGTAACCCAGGACATTGTGAGAAGCTAGGCAAGAAATTACAGGGCCCCTCGCTGAGATATTTGTAATATCAACAGCCATGGGTGAGATCTTGGAAGACTGGAGAATGGCTAATGTTCTACAGTTGTAATTTAAAAACAAGTATAACTTCAATATTCCATAAAAATGGAAAAAATCTACTGATGGAATGCCAATTAGTAGTTAAAGGTGTTTATCATTGGGCCGACAGAATTGAACAGTTACTTAAACAGCACTTGTGTGCTGTCATTAATTAAGAAAGGCTGCAAGGAAAAGCCAGTGAACTATAGACTGGTGAGCCTGATGTCAGTGATGGGCAAGTTGTTGGAGGGGATTCTGAGGGACAGAATTTACGTGCTCTTGAAAAGGCAAGGACTGATTAGTCCTTGATTAGACTCGACTGATTAGATCTCAGAAATTTGATTGAGTGTTTCTTTTTAAAGAGGTGAACAAGAAAATCCACGAAGGCAGAGCTGTAGATCTTGTCTATAAGAGCTTCAGCAAGGCATGTGACAAGGTTCCACATGATAGACTGGTTAGTAAGGTTAGACGAAATGGGATCCAAGGACAGCTAGCCAATTGGATACAAAATTGGTTTGACAGTAGGTGACAGACAGTAGTGGTAGAGGGTTGTTGTTCAGACCGGAGCCTGTGACTAGCGTGTGCTGCAAGGATCAATGCTGGGTCCACAGTTGTTCATTTATATAAATAATTTAGATGAGCATACAGAAGACATGGTTAGTAAGTTTGCAGATGACACCTAAATTAGTGGTTGTAGTAGACAGTGAAGAAGGTTATCTAAAAGTACAAACGGATCTTGATCGACTGGGCCAGTGGGCCAAGGAATGGCAGATGGACTCTCATTCATATAAATGAGTGGTGTTGCATTTTGGTAAGACCAAGCAGGACAGGACTTGCATAGTTCATGGTAGGGCATGGGGCATGTTGTTGAACAGAGGCTTGGGTTGCAGCTACGTGGTTCCTTGATGGTGACGATGAAAGCAAGTGTGCCAAATTGAGTACGGGAGCTGAGATGTCATGTTATGGCTGTACAAGGCATTGGTAAGGCCACATGTGGAGTACTGTGTGCAGTTCTGGTTGCCTTGCTATAAGAAGGATTAAACTGGAAAGAATGCCAAAAAGGATTTACAAGGATGTTAGCAAGACTGGAGAGCTTCAGTTATAAGGAGAGGCTGAATATACTGGGGCTTTTTTCCCTGGAGCATAGGAGGCTGAGGGGTGACCTTTTAAAGAGGTTTACAAAATCATGATAGTGTGAACTGGCAAGGTCTCTTTGCCCAGGTTAGGGCAGTCTAAAACGAGAGCATGTAGGTTTAAGCTGAAAGGGGAAAGATTTAAAAGGAACCTGAGGGACAAACTTTTCGTAGATACAGTGATGCGTGTATGGAACGAGCTCTGGAGAAAGTGGTAGAGCGCAATTACAACACTTAAGAATTTGTGCAGGTACATGGAGAGGAAGGGTTGAGAGGGATATGGACCAAACACAGGCCAATGGGACTAGTTCAGTTCAGGAAACCTGGTCAGTTTGGACTTGTTGGGCCGAAGGGTCTGTTTCTGTGCTGTATGACTGACTCTATGACTCATTCTCGTATATGAATTGAAGTTAATAGCATATAAGTTTGCATGCTCTATAGAGTGCTAACAATACCTTTGCTGTTTCCCTCTGCATGCTTTATTTTACTGTAGGAAATATTTTGGAAAGTACCGATCTCTTTGGAAATGAAGGTGATTGTTTATTGAGACTATTGCAGTGTTTTTTTAATTCATTCACAGCTAGGCCAGTATATATTGCACATCCTCAATTGCCCTTAAAGGTGATGGTGAGCTGCTGCCTTAACAACTGAGCGGACTGCTTGGCTATTTGAGTGTGTAGTTAGGAGCTAACCATATGACTGTGGACCTAGACTTGCCTTTGGGCCATACTACGTTAGGATAGCTAATTTCCTTCCTGCAAGGTTGTTATTGAACTGAATGAACTTCTACCCTGTTAAAACATGATTACTATGCCTAATGCTAACTTTTTATTCCAGATTTATTTTATTAACTATGTTTCAAATTCCCCAACTAGTGAGGAAGGATGTGAACTTGTTTCTGGATCATTCAATTAAGCCTCCGGATTACTAGCCAATATCTCAACACTCTACTGCCATTTACATTTTCATAGTCAATATGCTTCTACACCTACAGTTCAATGTGTCTTTGATTTTATCTTTTTATTTGCTTCGTGGAACCACCGTGGATATCTGGGGTGAATCAATTTGCACAGTGACAAACTCCTTAGTCTGTATTTGCCTGCTTTTGACTGCTATCAAGATAAGCCACCTTTCACTTCTTTCCCCTTTCTAATGAATTGTGTTCTGTCTTGTGTGTAATGGATCCTCTGTTATCTCTTCATGCATTTTCAAGAATGGCATACTGGGCTAGGGGATAGGTCAATAGAGATAATGTTAGATATTTAAGGGGATATTTCAGAATACTTAAAATATTCCTACTGCAAAAATCATGTTCTCAAGGGAGGGACCTGTATTTGGCTAACTTATTGGAGTTCTTTGAGGAAAGGACAACTAGGGAGGGGCAATAAATGCTGGCCGGCCAGCCAGCCACCCCCATGTCCCACGAGTGATTTTAAGAAAAATGTTCTTTGGATGCAGGGTAGATTCAATGGATGGACTATACTTTGGTTTCCAGAAAGTTTTTGATGAGGTGCTACATCAAAGGTTACTGGGGAAGATAAAAAACCGTGTTGATAGTGGCATTTTGCATGGGTAGAGGATTGGCTGATGTGCAGAAATAAGTGTTTTTATTTAAGTTTAGCAGGTTGGTAGGGTGTCATGAGTGGTGTGTCACATGGGTTGGTCCTGAGGCCTCAGTCTTTACAATTGATGTGAAAAATTTGGATGATTTGGGAAGGAACTAAAAGCTGGAAACCTCAACATACCAAAACAAGTACGTAGATGGTAACTTGAAATGTCATAACCTTCAAGGCTGTTGGCAAGTGTGAATAGGTCGGCGCAGACTTTAATGGGCCAAAGGAACTCTTCTGTGCTGAATTAAAGCAGTTAAAGAAAGCATCAAATTTGAAAAAGCGTGCTGTTGTGCAGAGTTGTGGCAGGTCAGATGATTGGTCAGAGTATAAAGAATGACCAAGAAGTTAATCAGGGTGAAGAAATTAGAGTATGAGCGGAGGCTCGCTATGAATGTAAAAATGGATGGGTAAAAGTTTTTCTACTGTGTAGTGTAAGTAAAGTTGGTCCTCAAGAGTGAGTATAGGGAGTTAATTGTCGATAAGTAAGAAATGGCAGATGAAATGAATCAAAATATTGCTTCTGTGGTCGCTATAGAGGACCATAAGATGCAAGAGTAGCACAAGGTCTTTGAGCGCATCAAGTCTGCTCCGTCGTCCAATGAGATCATAGCTGATTTGACCATCCTCAACCAAAACCCTAACCCCCTCTCCTGCCTTTGCCCTATAACCATTGATTCCCTCAAAGATGAAAAGTCTGTCCCTCTCAGTCTTGAATATACTCGGCCTCAAAGGCTCTCTGCAAGTAAAACAAAATTGCACGGATTCACTGTAAAACCATAAGATAAAGCAGCAGAATTAGGCCATTCGGCCCATTGAGTCTGTTTCACTGTTTGATCTTACACGACGTGCAAACTCCAGACAGACAGTCGCCCGAGGCTGGAACTGAACCTGGGCCCCTGGTGCTGAGAGGCAGCAGTGCTAACCACTGAGCCACCATGCTGCCCAAACAAAACAGGATGGATGCGTGTCTCACTCTCAATGTAAGAAGAGCACATTGTCAGTTAAACGTATGATTTGGGTTTGTGCTTTTTCAGTGCACTCTCTTCCTCCACCCTGTTTCATCCTGGAATGATGTGGTACGTGATGGGAGTGGTCAGGGTCATAAGGAAATGCATTTCAGAGAATGTATCTCCAGTCGCCATTCAGTTCTCTTTTATTCCTTGGTTTTCGATAATGATTTCCTTGTTCTGGCATAGCAGAACATTTTGCAGTGGCAAACTTTCCATTGTCTCAAGTTAGCATGTTTTTAACCAATTGCTATTGATTGCAGTGCTTATTGCACATTCTGGTTGTATCTGCATTTCCATTTTGTTTAAAGCTGCTCACTTTTACCGGCTGAAATCTTTTTGTGGACTTCCAGTAATAAAATCCTGTCATGAATGGTCAAGTGTAAGAAGCATTGGAGGAAATGCTGGATCCTCAAACTCCAAGCTGTGCTTTTACTCCTTGTCACATTTTAACAATGCATGACAAGATATTAACTTGATTTCTTGTCATTGATGATTTTTTTCTTTCTTTGATCTCAAATGCTCTTTTTCTCTCATTCCACTGCAACTCTTGTTTTTTTTTTCTCTGATCATTTTCATGAGTTTTTGTTTTATTGATCTCAATATCTGTCCTAAGCATTTAGTTTCCGATCATGAGAAGCAGTAGTCATGCCTAAAAGTTGCAGACACAATTGAGTATCTTCTCTCTTGAGAAAGTATTGTCAATTCATCTATCTTCTCTAGTTCCGTAAAGTGCATGTTCCTAACTTTTTCCCAGAAGTTCAAAATACTGACTGTTATGAAATTTCATCCCTTTTTCTGCCTAGAAACCCGGGGAATTGCAGGAATGAGCAGAAATGCAAAAGAAATTTTACAATACATTGAACAATACTGAATGGAAAGTTTTCATTTTACAGGCCCACAGGCAAGAACCATCTTAATGCAATCCAGTTTACCACAAGCTCAGTTAGCATCTATATGGTAAGCACATTTCTAACAAATCATTTTCAAACAAGTTATTGCCTAAAATCTATTTCTCAAAGGGATGATTGATGCTTTAACTGCTTTGTTTTGTCATCAAAATGTGGGACAAATTTATTTTTACAATAGGATCACTTTTGCCCCTTTCACCACATTTTCTCCCATCCATTTTATTCTCTGTAAATAACTGCTAAGCAAAAAGTGTACAGTTTGTTGCTGTCCTTTGTCGGTAGCAAGTTGAACAATGCTTTAAATTCTTATGTCTTTCCCTTACATAGAATATAATATTCAGGAGCAATGGCCCTTTAAACTTTCTCAGCCCTTTGAACCTACTCCAGTTCCTTTCGTTAAAATGGTGGCTGACCTGATTGTGTTTTGGGCTCCACTTTGCAATGCACCATAACCCTTGACTCCCTTGTCTTTGAAACCTCTGTCTAACTTGGTCTTGAATAAATTTGTCTTGAATAAATTTTGTGTTCTGTGGAAGAGAATTCCCAACTGTAATAACCCACTGGGGAAAAAAGAAATTCTCCATTTCCTCACCTCTTAAAAGGAGACTTCTTATTTTTAACCATTATCTCCTAGTATTGATTTCTCCCACAAAAGGAAACAGCCTTCAGGTATCAACCCTTTCTACCCAGCTCAGGTTCTCGTGTCTTTGGGGGTTGGTACGGTGGCTCAGTGGTTAGCACCGCTGTGTCTCAGCACCAGGTACCCGGGTTCAATTCCACCCTCCAGTGTCTGTGTGGAGTTTGCACGTTCTCCTCTTATTCAGTGTGGGTTTCCTCTGGGTGATCTAGTTTCCTCCCACGGTCCAAAGATCTGCAAGTTTAGATGGATTATCCATGCTAAATTACCCATAGTGTTAAGAGTTGTGCGAGTTAAGTGCACTGCCAAGGGAAATGCAGGGTTATAGGGATCGGCAAGGGGGATGGGTCTGGGTGGAATGCTGTTTGGTGGGTTGGTGTAGTCTTGGTGGGCCAAATAGCCTGTTATCATAGGGACTCTATGATAAGAAGATCATCTAAATTGCAATGGATATAGGTCCAACCTTTTCAATCCTTTTCCATGAAGTAAGCCCTTCATCTCAGGAATAAGACAAGTAAACCATCTAGTGCTAGCCTCCATTTGGAACTAGTCTTGGATGTTTCACAAAACTTGAATTGATGTGATCTATCACTGTGACCAAAGGTTAGACATTTGGTCAATTTTATCCTCCTTCAAACCAATTATTCATCTGTGGTGCAGAAGGTTAGGTACCGATCTCGGTTTTGTAATATGCATTCAAAGCTAGCCAAATATGATGGGATGAAAGGCTCCTTTGGTGGGAATCATGGTTGTGGATGAAACTTGTTTGAGTTGTTTCAATTTTTTGCACATCCCTTTAGTGGAAAACTTAGTGTAATCAGAGACCACATTATTTTTAGTATCGCAAAATTGGATTGTTGCTCTTCAAGCTGAAGAGCATGTTGAGAGACAGTAGAGGGAGTTGTACTTTGTCTTTTCACTACACCTATATAATAACTATCTTTTGTATTTGTGGTGCTATTTTTTTGTTGGTCACTGTTACTGCATCATGTGATGACAACAGAGAAAACAAGCAAATTAGAATAATACATCAGTGTGGACAGATGCAAATGAATTGCATTGAAGATGTTGAATGAAATGCCAATTGTACGACCAAATGTTGTCAGAATTTTGTTTACTCATTACGGAATGTGGCCAGTATTTAGCAGCGTTCCTCTGAGGAAGAAAACCCAAGGAAAGAACTCCTAGCTCTATTTTATGCACATTTGCACCCTGGCTTGAAAGTAAAAACTTTGAAGTAAATGTTACATGGAGATCAAAGATTGGTAGGGAAGAGTTACAGAAAATACCTCAATTGAAATATGTACATAAAGTCACACAATTTGTGATTAAATTTGTTTCAGAGATAATAGGGACTGCAGATGCTGGAGAGTCTGAGATGACAAGAGCTGGATGAACACAGCAGGCCAAGCAGCATCAGAGGAGCAGGAAAGCTGACGTTTCGGGCCGAGACCCCCCTCCAGAAATGGGGGAGGGGAAGGGGGTTCTGAAATAAACAGGGAGAGAGGGGGAGGCGGATAAAAGATGGATAGAGGAGAAGATAGGTGGAGAGGAGACAGACAGGTCAAAGAGGCGGGGATGGAGCCAGTAAAGGTGAGTGTAGGTGGGGAGTTAGGGAGGGGATAGGTCAGTCCAGGGAGGACGGACAGGTCAAGGGGGCGGGATGAGACTAGTAGGTAGGAGCGGGTGGTGGGGCTGGGGGTGGGAGGAAGGACAGGTTAGGGAGGCGGGGACAAGCTGGGCTGGTTTTGGGATGCGGTAGGGGGAGGGGAGATTCTGAAGCTTATGAAGTCCACATTGATACCATTGGGCTGCAGGGTTCCTGAGTGGAATATGAGGTGCTGTTCCTGCAACCTTCGGGTGGCATCGTTGTGGTACTGCAGGAGGCCCAGGATGGACATGTCGTCTGAGGAATGGGAGGGGGAGTTGAAATGGTTTGCAACTGGGAGGTGCAGTTGTTTAGTGTGAACCAAGCATAGGTGTTCTGTAGTGCGGTCCCCAAGCCTCCGCTTGGTTTCCCCGATGTAGAGGAGGCCACAACGGGAAGAGCGGATTCAGTATACCACATTAGCAGATGTGCAGGTGAACATCTGCTTGATGTGGAAAGTCTTCTTGGGGCCTGGGATGGGGGTGAGGGGGGAGGTGTAGGGGTAGGTGTAGCATTTTCTGCGGTTGCAAGGAAAAGTGCCGGGTGTGGTGGGGCTGGAGGGGAGTGCGGAGCGGACAAGGGAGTCATGAAGAGAGTGGTCCCTCTGGAAAGCAGATAAGGGTGGGGAGGGAGAAATGTCTTTGGTGGTGGGGTCGGATTGCAGATGGCGGAAGTGTCGGAGGATGATGCGTTGGATCTGGAGGTTGGTGGGGTGGTACGTGAGGACGAGGGGGATTCTGTTTTGGTTGTTATTGCGGGTAGGGGGTGTGAGGGATGAGTTGCGGGAAATGCGGGAGACATGGTCAAGGGTGTTCTCGACCACTGGGGGTGTGGGGGGTTGCGGTCCTTAAAGAATGAGGACGTTTGAGATGTTCGGGAGTGGAATGCCTCATCCTGGGAGCAGATGCGGCGGAGGTGAAGCAATTGGGAATCGGGGATGGCATTTTTGCAGGAAGGTGGGTGGGAGGAGGTGTATTCTAGGTAGCTGTGGGAGTCGGTGGGCTTGAAATGGATATCTGTTTCCAGGTGGTTGCCAGAGATGGAAACGGAGGTCCAGGAAGGAGAGAGAGGTATCAAAGATGGTCCAGGTGAACTTAAGGTTGGGGTGGAAGATGTTGAAGTGTATGAACTGTTCGAGCTCCACATGGGAGCATGAGGCGGCACCGATACAGCCATCAATGTAACGGAGGAAGAGGTGGGGTTTAGGGCCAGTGTAACTACGGAAGAGGGTTTGTTCCATGTAACCTACAAAGAGATAGGCATAGCTTGGGTCCATGCGGGTACCTGTGGCCACCCACTTTGTCTGTAGGAAGTGGGAGGAATTGAAAGAGAAGTTGTTGAGGGTGATGACGAGTTCGGCTAAGCGGATGAGGGTGTCGGTGGAGGGGGACTGGTCGGGCCTGCAGGACAGGAAGAAGCGGAGGGCCTTTAGGCCATCTGCATGGGGAATGCAAGTGTATAGGGACTGGATGTCCATGGTAAAGATGAGGTGTTGGGGACCAGGGAATTGGAAGCCATCCCCTATTCCCAATTGCTTTGCCTCCGCCGCATCTGCTCCCAGAATGAGGAATTCCACTCCCGAACGTCTTAGATGTCCTCGTTCTTCAAGGACCGCAACCCTCCCATCCCCCAGTGGTCGAGAACACCCTTGACCATGTCTCCCGCATTTCCTGCAACTCATCCCTCACACCCCCTACCTGCAATAACAACCAAAACAGAATCCCCCTCGTCCTCACGTACCACTCCACCAACCTCCAGATCCAACGCATCATCCTCCGACACTTCCGCCATCTGCAATCCGACCCCACCACCAAAGACATTTCTCCCTGCCCACCCTTATCTGCTTTCCGGAGGGACCACTGTCTCCGGGACTCCCTTGTCCGTTCCACACTCCCCTCCAGCCCCACCACACCGAGCACTTTTCCTTACAACCGCAGGAAGTGCTACACTTGCCCCTACACCTCCCCTCCCCACCCCCATCCCAGGCCCCAAGAAGACTTTCCACATCAAGCGGATGTTCACCTGCACATCTGCTAATGTGGTATACTGTATCCGCTGTTCCTGTTGTGGCCTCCTCTCCATCGGGTAAACCAAGCGGAGGCTTGGGGACCGCTTTGCGGAACACCTACACTCGGTTCGTACTAAACAACTGCACCTCCCATTCCTCAGATGACATATCCATCCTGGGCCTCCTGCAGTGCCACAATAATGCCACCCGAAGGTTGCAGGAACAGCACCTCATATTCCGCTCAGGAACCCTGCAGCCCAATGGTATCAATATGGACTTCACAAGCTTCAAAATCTCCCCTCCCCCTACCGCATCCCAAAACCAGCCCAGCTTGTTCCCGCCTCCCTGACCTGTCCTTCCTCCCACCTGTCCCCTCCTCCCACCTCAAACCCCACCCCCATCTCCTACCTGCTGGCCTCATCCCTCCCCCTTGACCTGTCCGTCTTCTCTGGACTGACCCACCTCCTCCCTACCTCCCCACCTACACCCACCTTTTACTGGCTCCATCCCCACCTCTTTGACCTGTTTGTCTTTTCTCCACCTATCTTCTCCTCTATCCATCTTCTATCCGCCTCCCCCCCCCCCCCCCTCACCCCGTTTATTTCAGAACTCCCTTCCCCTCCCCCATTTCTGAAGAAGGGTCTAGGCCCGAAACATCAGCTTTCCTGCTCCTCTGCTGCTTGGCCTGTTGTGTTCATCCAGCTGTTGTTATCTGTGATTTAATTTGTTTGAGCAACATTTTTATTTGTTTAAGATCACCTCGAACAAATCTCTCAATTCTGCACAGGAACCTTTCTGATATAGATCAAGATGGAAAGCTTACAGCGGAGGAATTCATTCTGGCTATGCACTTAATTGATATGGCAATGTCAGGACAGCCATTGCCTCCCGTACTGACTCGAGACTTGATTCCACCAACTTTCCGGTAAGTAGGGTAAAGGTTGTGGAATTTATCCAATGTGTGTATATGTGATAGGTCCAATTGTTTTGTTGGATTTTTTTTTATAAAAGCACTTATTTTCTATCAACAGCAACATAGTTACAGATGAGTTCATATGCTCAGTTTATTTTTCGGACCTAACTCTGAAAAGAAATTGGCCATATGTAAATTGAGGTTTGTAGTAACTAAACATGGCCAGCTTACTGGATGCAGTGCAGAAGTATTTCTGAACTAGGATATTGCAGTTAGTTTTCAAATTATATGCAAGGTTGTTGGGCAGTCAGATGAATAATGGAACGACATATGTGATTATTGCACCATGTGGAACATAGTTTATTAAAAGATTTTATCCAATTTGGCCAAGCAAGAAATTAAACAGCCTTCACTGGCCTTAATACCGGTGACTGTTGATCAGTTGATGGCATGAAAAAGAGCACAAGTTAACTGATTATTTTGACATTGTTCCCTGTGAGGAAATGCTCGACCTTCAGTCGATGGATCAATTTCAAAGAAGAACATTCATTTTTGTTGTGCTTTTCATGACCATCAGTCACCTCTGCTTTACGACCAATTATGTCCGTTATTGAAGTGTACGTGCTGTTGTGATGTAGGAAATGTGGCAGTTGATTTGGTTGCACAAAGCTCCTACAAACTGCTTTTTGCTTTTGTGATGTAGCTTGAAGGGTAAACACTGGCCAGAGCACCACGGATAACTCCTGTTTGGAGCAGTGCCCTTTTGACCCAACAGTCACCTGAGGGAGAAGACAGGGTTTCAGTTCGATGTATCAACCAAAAGCATGTTCCTCTGATCTTGTAGCATTCCATGCATAAGACATTGGCCTTATTCTTATCCTCAAGTCCCTGCAGTCAGTACTTGAACCCAGTGCTTTGATTGAGAGGCAAGAGTGCTACCAATTGAGCCACAGCTGCACATAACATAATGAAAACTGGATAAAGAGAATTTGAATTGCCAGACTTAATCTGATATCTGAAATATGTTGAAAGCAGAGTGTGTTTTGCTGTCGAGTAAACCCATCTTAGACAGCAAAACGTTTGTTTAAAACAGTTTTGCTTCATTTAGGAAGAATTGAATTACAAAATCAATGTCATTAAATTAGAGAGAATGCTTTTTTGGAGTGTTCTTTTTGTAATTACAATGTACAATGATTTGCATTTAACTCCTTACTTTGAAATCACTTAGATGTTGCAGTCCAACAGTTCTGTTTGAATATTGCAGAAGAGCCAGGTCTGGTAGTGGAATGTCTACTGGAAGCTCATTGAGTATTGATCAACGAGTACCTGAAGAACCACAAGAAGAAGAAACTGAAAAAAAATTGCCTGGTAAATTATGTTACAGTGAAGTATTTTCAGTGCGAAGTATACCTTGCTTCCATTCCCACCAACTGACAGTAAAAAAAACATTTACCCATGATTTCTCCTTGAACCTGTTGAGAGGTATTTGTTGCCAGTTTGCCGACAGCTTGTTGGAATGTTTCGTTTCCTCAATTTGGGATGTTTGAAATGGAGTTTCATTTTCTTAATTTGAAATATTTCCACTCGAGTTGTATTGAGCTCAACCAAGCACTAGGTGGAGCAAATGATTTCAGTTTTGCATTGAAGGGAAGTAAAAAACAGAAGTACACGATAATGAACAAATTAGTTGGATAATTCTTCACTTCTGGGAAAATGGTGTGGAAAAGGGTTTTGCTTTAGCAAATTTAATGGAGACTGTTCTATTCAGAGGATAATCCTGGACTATGGTCCTCATAATTAGCACACTCAGTGAAATGGAACTATATTAAATTGTTTTGAGAAAATGAAAAGTCGGAATTGAGGACTGTATCTCAAGTTTTGAAGTTGACAATGGAGTCATGCATGACTCCGTTAAGAGTCACTTTTGTTCAAAGAAAGTTGCAAAGGGATATTGATAGGTGAAAAGAATGCAGTAAAATGAGTATCAGATAGAAATCAGCATTAATATGAGGTGCAGAAACAAAAGCAGAAGTTGCTGGAAAAGCTGAGCAGGTCTGGCAGCATCGTGAAGAAAAAAATTAGAGTTAATGTTTTGGGTCCGGTGACCCTTCCTCAGAATGGAATATGAGGTGGTTACTTTTATTTTAGGTCAGATAAACATTTAGTATGTTTTGAAAAATATGGTGTACTGATTCCTAGGACATAAAAGTCAACAACTTGGGCTGATTGGGTTTTTTATTTTGCAGAATAACACAAAGCTAATGGATCCAGGTTTCTTCATGTATAAAATATAAAAGCTAGGAGATGTTGAGCTGAAGATTTCAATAACACCTTGGTTTAGAGAACGAAGTATTGTTGGGCTTCTCATTGTCAGAAGATTATTAAACCTGTGTGTGTGTGTAATGATTCACTATTGTGTCTTATGGTGTGGGAAAATACAAATACAGTATTCCCATCTCTTTTCCACTCAAACTGTCTTTGATATTTGAGATCACACAGCAATACTGTTGATCTGAATGATGTTAAGACTTAGTTGTAAACTGGGAACAGCAATAAATTGCAAGAATTGCAGCAGTACAAGTATTAAGTGAAGATTTGTTCAAAAAATTTTTTTCAATAATAGAATTGTTTGACTTTAAAGGAATAGGGTATGAACGGCTTTGAAAATTTATGGGTCAAATAAGAAAACTTGGACATTATTGGGCCATTGTGCTTTGAGCTGGTACAATTGCAGTTTGGAGCTGGAGCTTGCATGTTCTCCCCATGCCTGTATAGGTTTCCTCTGGGTGCTTTGGTTTCCTCCTACAGTCCAAAAATGTGTAGCTTGGGTGCATTGGCCATGCTAAATTGGCCACAGTGTCTGGGGATATGCAGGCTAGATGGATTAGGTATGATTGATATGGGTTAGGGTTAGGGTGGCATGATTTTCTTTGCTTTCTTAAATTGTTCCTTCACTCAACCTGTTTGCAGTGACATTTGAGGATAAGAAGCGTGAGAATTTTGAACGGGGGAATCTTGAACTGGAAAAGCGACGACAAGTTCTTCTGGAACAACAGCGAAAGGAGCAGGAACGACTTGCTCAATTGGAACGTGCAGAGCAGGAACGGAAAGAGCGAGAGCGGCAAGAACAAGAAAGGAAAAGGCAGATGGAGATAGAAAAGCAGCTGGAGAAACAACGAGAATTTGAGCGACAGAGGGAGGAAGAGAGAAGAAAGGAAATAGAAAGGCGAGAGGTAAAATTTGAACAATGATTGTTTAATGATTTCTCAAATTAAAATTCATATACTTGAAGGATATGACTAGATCACAAGCCATATCTCAACTTGCCTTTAAATGTGTAATTATGGCTTATTGCACTCGGATCTACTTTTATTTTATTTAGATGTCAACTGCACATCACTTTGAACTATTAGAGCTGGAGAATTGTTTCACTTTATTCTTTGCACATGCTATTTTTTCTGTTTTAAAATATCACATTCCTTTCAAAAGTGATTTTTTAGGTCATTTTATCCAAATAAAATTTCTAAGGAAGTTATACCGGTTCAGTTTCTTTGCCAAATATTCAATGCATACAATTTTATCTAATCTTTACGTAAAGAGAGCTGAAGCCAGCAAGTGCCGAGGCTTTTGACTCCCATATCTTTCTGGAGCACTGCTGGTACTTAACTACCAGAACTCCACAGCTGACCTGCACAGAGCACCGACCACGTTCTTGCTTGTCTATCAGGACCCCCACTTCCCCAAACCAAAAATCATGAATTGACACATGAAATTACAGGAAGCCAAATGGTCTTGTATCAGAAGATCAACTATGGTGCCTATCATTACAGGTACCCTTATTAAGCCAGACTAACTGGAGTGTTGTGTGGCCTTACCAGACTTTGGTATGTGATTGCAAAGTCTCATTTTAGATCGCCAATATGTTACCTTGGAGTAGCCCTGACTATAAATAAAAACACTGCTTAAAGAGAAATATATTCCAGTCGTCTTTCACTCCACTATGTATCAGGTGGATAATTATTGGTTATCGAGGTAAATGTGCATTTGGCCGATTATGATAATCTAATATTAAGTTATTGTAATCGAGAAAGGCATCATGAAATTATAAGAATGAGATGTGTCCTGTCATCTCTTCTGTTTGAAACTGCCTGTTCTCAAAACAAGCTTGAACCTGGGCATTTTGGTTTAACTGCATGATATTTTGTAGCTTCTGCAAGGTCTCTTTAAATCCAATGTCATTTATAATCCCTACTAAACTTTTTTAAAGAGTAGCTAAAAGTCTTGGGCTTTGACTACAGAGATGTTAGGAAGAAGTGGATGATAATCCTCAATGATAACATCTGTTGTTAATGTGAATTCATAATAATTTTTATTCAGTTACGTCAGATTAATTGTGCCAGTTGAGTTAGTTTCTTTTGAGGTTCATTTATTACCTTCAGCATTCAATTGAAAAAGCACTCCATGTTGAAATTAATTATTTAGTAGACTTTCACTAGGATGACAGGTTTAAAAAATTAATGGTTTTATTCAGTGGTTTTATATGGCTTTGAGTGTTGAAAACATTACTATATCATTAGTCTGTACTTGAAGAAATGCTATATAAAACCTGTGTAATTTCATTACTGTATTGATTAAACTCTGGGATAGTTATTCAACATTTTGGTTGCATTAGACAATGACTGTGACAAAATATGTTAGCGCTGCCATGAGGCTGTCTTTTTAAAAATTAAATAAATTAAACCATGGGGTAAATTTCATTAGTTTTTTTTTTTAAAGGGGATAAATTTAAGATGTCAGTTCAAAAATTAACACCACCCGCAAGTTCACCTCCAAACCAATCAATATCCTGACTTGGGAATATATCACTGTTCCTTCACAAGGTCAAAATCCTGGAATTCCTTCCCTAACACACTCTTTGGTTCTACTGACAGTGCACAGACAGCAGTAGTTCAAGAAGGCAACTCACTACCACCTTCTCAAGGGCAACCGGGGATGGGCAACAAATGCTGGCCCAACCAGCATTGCCCATGTCCCACAAGTGGGTTTTTAAAAATAAAATAACTGCTGTAACCTGGGACGTGATTTGCTGCTGAGTTAAGGAGAAAAATTACATTTGGGATTGATTTGTAATTGGGTCATTTCCTGTTCTGATTACATCTGGATTGTATATCTAAGCAGCAAGTGCTTCGTAATGCCACCGATCTGAAGTCACTGATCAGACATCATGATTTGTTACATTTGTGACACTAGAAGATATGCTGTGATGTGAGGATAAATGCGTGATCTCTGCATCTCTTGTCTTGCCTTTATTGAGAACAGGTTCCAGGATTTTTGATATTGCAGGCTATATAATGTGACAAATATCCTCATTGATTACAGGCTGCAAAACGTGAACTTGAAAGGCAGCGCCAGCTTGAGTGGGAGAGGAATCGTCGACAGGAACTCTTGAACCAACGCAACAAAGAACAAGAAGATATTGTAGCCTTGAAAGCAAGGAAAAAAACTTTAGAGTTTGAACTTGAAGCCCTTGTGAGTTCATAGGTTTGCTTTCATATCATTTATTTTGGAGTAAGGCTGTGCTGATTTGACAGATTTTGTTTTTGTCTGTTAGAATGATAAAAAGAATCAGTTGGAAGGCAAGCTTCAAGATATCCGATTTCGTCTGTCCACTCAAAGACATGAAATTGAGCATACAAATCAGACACGGGAGTTACGAATTTCAGAAATCACACATCTACAGCAACAGTTGCAGGTAGTTTTTAGTTGGTGTGTGAGTTAGAATTATCAACATACCTTTCCTGGGACGCAAGATCCTCCCTCAACCTGAGCATTTGCTTGATGCCAAAACTGCTAAAATATGGTACATTTCAATGTGCTAACAGTTTTTTTTCCTTCTGACTGTAGGAATTTCAACAGATGCTCAGTCGACTGATTCCTGAGAAGCAGTCTCTCAACGACAAACTGAAGCAGGTTCAACAGAACAGTCTACATAGTAAGGATTGTTTCTGAATCACTTTATAGCTTTCTCAAAGTGTATGTGTATGCACAAGGGAGATAGCGAGAATTGCAGATGCTGGAGTCAGAGATAACGAGGTATGGAGCTGGAGGAACATAGCAGGCCAGGCAGCATCCGAGGAACAGGAAAGCTGACATTCTGGGTCGGGACCCTTCTTCAGAAATATTGTGTTAATTGGATTGTGTTAATTAGTAGTGCATCAGAAATTGAACCAGATATCACAGCGCAGGGAAGATCTTGCAGTATTTGCAATATTGTTCCAACTAGGAAACAAGACGTTCTTTGAACTGGAATAAACGCACACAACTGCAGATGCTGAAAATCTGAAGCAAAGAGATTGCTAGAGAAGCACAGCAGGTCTGACAGCATTTGTTGAGACAATGTCAGTTCTGGCAAAAGGTTACTGGACTTGTCATGTTAACTCTTGCTTTTCTCAACAGATGCTGGCAGACCTGCTCTGTTTCTCTATCACCTTGTTTTTGTTTCTCAGAACTAGACAAATTTCACTATTTGACTACTGGTTTAGTCATTCTGTGAATTTGTTTTTTGTTGTCCTTCCTATTAGTGCTTTTTTTTTAAAAAAATGGTTCAATCATCACCAAATCTGCCTGAAGCCAGCAATCAACTGAAAGGTGGAATGCTAGAATTCTGAAATAAAACAAAAAATACTGGGAATGCTCAGCAAGGTGAAATTTTTTTCTTCTTCATTCTCTCATGAGGTATGGGTGTCACCGATAGGCTAGCATTTGTTGTCTATCTTCAAATGTTCTTGAGCTGAGTAACTTGGAAAGGAAAGTTAAGAGTTAGCCACATTGCCTGGTCACTTGTAGACCAAGGTCAGAAGTTGCATGATACCAGGTCATAGTCCAACAGGTTTATTTGAAATCACAAGCTTTTGGAACACTTGCCCTTCTAGGTGGTAGATATTGCAGGCTTGGAGTGTACTGTCACAGGAGGTTTGGTGAGTTTCTGCAGGGCATCTTGTAGATCTTACATACTGCTGCCACTGTACATCAGTTCTGGAGGGTTGAAGGAAATGAGGTGCTAGTAAAATGTACTGCTTTGACCTGGATGGTGTCAGTCTTCTTGAATGCCCTTGGAGTTTCCCTCATTAATGCAAGTGGGGAGTATTCCATCCAATTCCTGAATTGTACCTTGCTGACATTGAACTTGCTTTGGGAACTTGAGATCATGAAATCATCAGAAGCTTGAATAGAGTGGACAGGGAAGACGTGTTTTGTTTAGTGGGAGAGGTAATTTATCAGGGGCTATAGATTTAAAACAAAGGATTAGAGGTGACAAGAATAAAACTTTTCCCAGAGACTTGCGTGTGGAATTTACTTTCCAGTTTGGTGGTGGAGATGGAAACCCTCAACTCATTTAAGTGGAACCTGAATCTATAAGTGAAGTACTGTAACCTGCAAAGACTAAAGAGTAGTTGCTGGAAAATGGCGTTAGAATGAGCAGCTAGTTTATTCATCTCGCAGATGTGAGGGCCTGGATAGTCTCTTTCTGTGCTGTAACTTTTCAATGGTTCTGTTGCTTGCAGTAACCATAATTGGATGTTGTTTGAATCTTTGCATTGTCCATTGTCTTCAGCTATTCCTTGATATCACAGGAGTGAATCAAATAAAATTTGAGATGCTAGCAACATCAGGAGGAATCGAAAGTCTATCACTTACTTGACACTTCTGGCTGAAGCTGATTGCAAATGCTTCAGCCTTGTGTTCTGCACTGATGAACTGCATACTCCCATCATTGAGGATGGATTTACATGTGGAGCCTGCTCTACCAGTTGGTTGTTTAATTGTGCACCACCATTCATGATTGGGTATGGCAGGGATGCAAGGCTCAGATCTGACCGGTTGATTGTGGGATTGTGCAACCTTGTCCATTGCATAGTGTTTTCACTGGTATGCAAGTAGTCCTGTAGAACTTGACACCCATGCCCAGTCACTTCAGTACAGTATATAGCTGATTCTTAATAAGTGACAGGTAACAAATGCTGGCTTTCCATTATTGCACATATCGCAGAGAATTCAAAACTTCACTTAGAATCAGTATTAAAGGGGTTAAATTATTGTCAAGTGAGTAGTTTTCTAAGGAAAATGTATTATGTTTTGTTCCAGATGAACTGACCACAGCATTCTTCTTAACAGTAAATTGAAAAGACTCAGGACAATAGTAGCTGCCAGGTGTCAATTGACTTGGGTGATTGTGTTCAGTGATTGTCATTTTGGTGCATAGTCAACAGTTGGATTCATTCATTATTGATAAATTACCATCTGTTCTAATACATTTGATATCTGCGGTTATCTCCTGTCTCTGGGGATTTTCACGAGCCACCAGACAGCAGATTAATGAAAAGACCCTAACTTGGCTTATTAGGTTTAACTCTCTTGTTGAGGAGGCAGAGAGATGGATACATGCAAACCTTATCAAATCTGTTGTACAATCAGAGAATAGTACTGCACAAAAGGAAGCCATTCAGACTATAGAATTCTGTTAAGTCTACTGCCTAGCATTTTTTCCTTATCCCTGCTGTTTTTTTTCTCCAAGCAATTAGCCAATTCACTTTTGGAAACTCTTCAGAATGCAAATTAACTGGAACCCACTATGTGACAGATAAGCTACCAGAGACTTGATTTTGGGTTTTCACACCTACCTTTGTGAATTCAGTAATGTATCCCTTAACTAATTGTCAAAAAGTACCAGATAGCCAAAAGGTTAAACAGGGAAAAGCTGAGATAAATGCAGTTCAGTTTTCTTTGTATGCTTATGAATAGCGCAAAACATGAAAGTATTGAGAATAGTGAGGAATGTAGTGCTAAATTTCAAGGATGGAGATGGATGGAAAAATGACAGATAACATTTCCTACAGAGAAATATGAAAAGATTCTTTGGTAGGAAGAATACGAAGAGGCAACATAAAATTAAGCGTTCAGTTCTAAAGGGGATGGAATGTAGGCGCACCATGGCTGGGAATACATCTATGAGCAAATCATTAAATGTAGCAGGGCATGTTGAGAAACTGGTTATAAAGCCCAACATCCCTTATGGTGTATCAACCAAGAACGTGTCAAGGACATTTTTTGGTAATCCCACATAAAACTCAGGTTCAGTCTCAACTGGACTGTTGATGCCCAGAACTGGTTACGTATTTTGGGAAGGCAGTAGAGAGGATGCAGAAAAGATGAACAAGAACAATTCTTGGGATGGTGGAATTGTGCTCTATGGGAAGATTGAAGAAGAAAATATTGAAGGGCCAATGTGGTACAAGTGTTCGAAAACATGAGCAGCAGAAACCATGTAGTGGTGAATAAACCGGTCAGTTGAGTACAGAGGACATCAGTTTAAGTGGTCACCAAAATAAAGCAAAGAGAACAGGAGGGCAAATCTTAGATTGCAAATGGTAAGGAAGTGGAAGGCACTGCCTGAGAGAATGGAGGCAGATTCAGTAAAGATATTCAAACAGAATTGAATAATTATCTGAGCCAAGAGAAATTGCAGGTCTATAGCGGAGAGGTTGAAAGAGTGAAACTCTGTGAGGTACTGGTGTAAAATGTCAACATGAATGTAATGGATTCATTGTGCCGTTACTGTTTTTGATGAGAGAAAGTATGCACTATCTCTTCGTATGTTTGAAAAAAATGAGTATGTTTCCGTTAAATCTATCTTTCCTAAAGTGAGGTCACTCCAAACTCTGAGACTTAATTTTGTAAAAGTATACATTCAGTTATTTTGGAGAGAGTAGATAATTAGTGAGGCAGTGCATGGTGTTTTCTGAGAGTTGATTTTCAAATTGTTACACCTGTTTTTTTGCCTGGATATTGAGAAGGAATGCATGTAGTAAAATATTAGATGCAAGCAATTTTCGAATGGGAGTGACTGATGATGCTAAACTGTAGAAACTATGAAATTATAATCTAGTAAGACAACCAAGAAATATGGTACTAAAAATGTTAGTATGCAAAAAACTTTCAGAACTTTTACCTTACTCTGCTGTTTGTCAAGTTTTTGTAATCAAATTTGTGTTTTCTTGTGATAGTGTAATTTTCTTGAAATGAATGTTTATGACTCTTATCAGATTACTTAAGTGCAGGTTAGTTAACTCTTCAGTGAATTTAAGATGCAACATGTCCTCTCCCAAACTGTCAACTTACATAACAGTATTTTTTAATTAATAGGAGACACTATTATTACTGTTAAAAAGTCTTTGGAAAATAAAGAATTGACTAGACAACATCTTCGTGACCAACTAGATGAAGTTGAGAAAGAAACAAGGGCGAAACTCCAGGAGATAGATGTCTTCAATAATCAGTTAAAGGTAATGCTGAGTTTTTTTATTTTATTCTTCTTGCCATGTTCTATGTTAAAAGTTGAACAGGCACAGTGTGTCAGAAGCCTCCACAAATTCCATTGTCTGTGCTTGGATTCCATACTTTGGTCAGATTCAGCATATGTACTTTGAATTAAGCTGGGCCAAAGACTAATATCTCTTCATTGTGCTCATTCTTTATGTGGCCTAATAAAGAATTGGTAAATTACACTTGCGTTACACTGGTCATGTGCCAGGGATCAGAATATACAAGCTATTGACTCTTCAGTGTTTGAATTTGCCTGAATGAGTGATTTTTCAACAAATGTCTTCCAGTTATTCACTTCTCTCCTTCATTTCTGGCAATTTGATTTCTTTTAAGCATGTTCAGGTTGACTGCTGCAGCCAATATTCTTGCTTTGTATTTCTTGGCTTCAAACCTATTTGTTCCAATACGTCACTTTCTGTTGGAAGAATACTATTGTAAATATTCATAGCACAAAAGGAGGCATTCAATCTGTTGTGTCTGTGCTCGCTTTTTGAAGGAGATATTCACCTGGTGCTACTGTCCTGCCTTCTCCTTGTGATCATGTGCATCCATTTTCAGATTTATTTAAGTAATAAGCATAAACTAAATTAGCTTATTCTGAGAAGTGCATTCAAATTAAAATTAGATAACTTGTTAGTTAAATTGCGTTGACTTCGAGTTGTGGAAGCATTGAAAGACGATGCCATCATTGTCTGCCTTTTGCCATTTGGTGACTTACTGTGGATGTGATTTTTCAGAAAAAAGTGTACTTGATTTTCCATCTGTTGTCAATATTGTTATAGGGCACAGATTAGTGCCTACTAACATCCTTGTGCATGTAAACAATGTGGTCTAGAACAGTTATGTAGCACTGAAGCTGTTTTTATTTCTGTTGCTGCTTTAGCCTAGATGTGTTACTATAACACAGACCCTGCCTGATTTTGATTTAACTCAATGCTCGTGTAAGCTTGCTAACTCGTGAGGAGAACTGGGAGCAATCATTGATTCATGAGTACTTGTATCCTTCTATATTCCAGAACCTCTGTTGTTTGAGAACTACATGATTTTTAAAAAAAATTAATTATAGGCAGAATGCTAGTGATTTGAATGTATTCTTAACCTGGCCGTATTTGGATAAGGGGAAAAAATGGTGAAAAAGGAAAATTCATCCGTTGAACTCTTTCCCCATACAAGCCATCAGTTTACAGTTCGTTGGGCTCAGGAGCATGAATAAACAGTGCGATAGTATTTTTGTTAAAAATTGGAAATAGATATCAAGACATCACCATCTGGATTGCTTTTCAGGTGATAATTGCGACTTCTCTTCATAACAGTAATTATATTCCTTATCTTAACTTGTGACTTGTAAGACTATCAAACAATTTGAATATGTAGAAAAAACTGCTTGTTATGGTTTGCTTTCTAAAATTAGATCTCCGCACAATTTTGTGAAAGGCTTGGATGGTTTATAATTTAAAGTATGTTTGTAACTGCCAAATGGCCTCTATCCAACAATATCTAATGAGACTGACACTTAACAAGCTATTTTGAAATGTAAAGCATGTTTGAGTCAAATGACATTTTTAAGAAATATGTAATTTGAGAAAGGGCTACTTTTGGAATAGCATATGTAGGATTTAATGCTGTTTAGTGCTGTTTGCTTTGGATTCATTGTATAGTTCTCATGTTTTCTTCTTGGAATCTGTCTTAGTTGCTTTAGATGCTTTTTCTTTGTTAAATCTGAGCATTTCTTTCTTCTAGTCTGTGGCTGTGGATGATGTTTAGCTGTAGTGCCTGGGCTTCCTCCTGTGCTGCGTGAGCCACTTAGACTTCTTTTTAAAGGCTTCTTTCCCTAAATGTGCTTTGGCACAACTTTTGAAATGCATTTCTAAATGGAAGAACAAACATTGCTTCCATGTGTCATCTGCTAGGTGCATAAGAGTCTGCAATTTCCTACTAGAAATACCACGCTTACAATCGTGCCAAAATTAGTAATTTGAGTAAGAATCCATGAACAAATGTCATAACGTGTAAGCATTTCATCCAGATTGTTTTTCGGTATCTCACATTGTGAACATGCTACCAAAGGCATGTTTGTCTAGGTTTAGGTCCCCTTCAAGAAACAGTGACTAAATACAACATAGCAACGTTCGTCTTAAATTGTTTACAGCACAATTTTATTATTCCAAAATACAACTTGTCATTCACTTTTGGTGTGGATTGAGATTAGTAGAGATGTTCCAAATCGCTAGCAATGTAAATTAATAATCTGTTGGCCTTTACGTAGAAGAAATATCCCATTCAGGATTGTGACTAAATAATATACCAAAATTGCTGCATGTGGTCAGTTGTTCACGTGTAAGTCTACACAGTATTTGGGGAAAAGGGGGCAAGCTCACATTTTTATTGTATATTCATGACCACAGCGTTCCAAGTGTTTTCCAGCCAATTAAATTCTTTTGAAGTGTAGCTACAATAGCAAAGTGCAGCAATATGAACACAATAATAGTTCAACAACAAAAACAGAAATTGCTGGAGAAACTCAGCAGGTCTGACAGCATCTGTGCAGAGAAAGCAGAGTTAATTTTTCAGGTCTGGATGCTTTTTAATTTTTTGTGTTCTGCAGGGTCACTGGTTCTGAAATGTTAACTGTGGTTTCTCTCCACAGGTGCTACCAGACCTACTGAGATTTTCCAGCTACTCTGCAGTATGTTTGGTTTTTTATTTAAGATGTATGCACATCTTTGGTGTGGGGCTTAAACTTTGTGAATCATAGACTAGAATGCTACCTTTTAACCCCAGTTAAAAACTAAGTGCAGGTTATTGATGGAAGGTTTGCCCCATTGTTAATAGATGTTTGTACAAAGATTATTTATTTCTTAAACACCTGGATGAAAATTGCATTACACTTATCTCAGCTTCCTGTGTGATCAGTTAATGATGAATAGATGAGAGATCAAGCTTTATGCTGGTGTTTATGGTGTAATTATTGACTGAACAAGTGAACTGGAGAGATTGGGCACGTCTCCCATGTGAAAAATGCAATAGAGATTTTTATCTCTTTCTTTGATACATAGATTTGAAGAATGACAATTATTTTGCAGGAATTGAATTTAAGAACAAGTACGTTTACAAATTTAAATATTGTAAATAGTTTTACAGAAAAAAAAAGTTGAAATGGAGCTTAAAACACTTCAACCATAATGACTTCAACTAACAAAAACTCCTTGCTACTTTCAGTCTTCACCTGCATTATCAGGTTTGCATTAAACTTGAAAGATCATACTTCTAGTAAGCAGTGTCCTGTATTTGTGACTACCTTATCTTCAAATATTTACTTTGACTTCCAACACTTAAGGTTAAAATCTGAGCAAGCTGCTTATACAGCAACTGTCACTTGACTAAATTTCACAGTCATTTCAGGAAATGCCAAAAAACAAAATGTCTGTACTCTTGAGATTTCAGCTTTGTGCTTTGTGTGCTTCCTATTAGTAGATGTAACTTCTGGCAACTCCTCTATCAAGGGCCCAGCTTGAATTTGTATGACAACTCTGTTACCTAATTTAAGGTCCATGATTTGTTCTTAATAATACCCATGATTTGCTCTTAATAACTGTCAGCAGAGGTCACTGGACAGTAAACATGGGAGTGTAGAGTAGATAAGGCCTGAATTTTTGCTAATAGTTTTGTGGCCTACTGAATAAATGAGGGCTGTCTGGACTTGTACATGAGTCAATGGCTTTGGCACAAGAGGACAATGAATTGGACGCAAATAATTTATTCAGCAAACCCTATTTAATTAAGTAATTGATAGCCTGATTGACTAGTTCTGGTATTTGAACAATTTCAGATTGTTTGTTTGGTATTTCTTGTTGAGCTCGTGATGTGTCAGTTTACTCTACTCAGCAGTTTGTGCGTGTATTCATTCTGGCTTGTCTATAAGCTTGAATCTGCTATTTAGAAATGCATAATTCAAGTAATGCTTAGCTTTTAATGTTAGAATTGATGTGTGTACAGGATTTGATGGCCTTCTAATTTCTCAATGCATCTAATTTCATTGTTCAGACATGGGCTTCAAATAAATAAAATATTAAATACATAAATCAACTGCGGTTAAGTGATGAAGTGGCAGTCATTTTAAATTACTGTATTGATAAGATGGTTCCACTGTGCCTTTACACTTGCCCTTTGCTTCTTTTGAACTTTCTGAGGAAGGTTGCTCTTGCTCTCAGGAGTGCAACAAAGGTTTACCAGACTGATTGATTGATTGATTCTGGGGTTGGTGGGACGTATGAGGAGAGATTGACCTCCCACCCACAGCCTACAACCTCATTGTTCCCCAACCCCAACCCCAACCCCGTACCACCCGTTTCTACATATTTTCCAAAATCCACAAACCTGATTGGCCCGGCCATCCCATTGTCTCTGCTTGCCCCTGCTCCACTGAACACTGACTGTATTGGTGCTGCCTTATGCTCCTACGAGGAGCTTGAACTGTTCATCAACTTTACTAACACGTTGCATCTCAACCTGAAATTCACCTGGACCATCTCTGATACCTCCCTGACCTTCCTGGACCTCTCTGTCTCCATCTCTGGCGATGGCCTTGAAACTGACATCTATTTCAAAACCACTGACTCCCACAGCTACCTGGACAACACCTACTCTCAGCCACCCTCCTGCAAGAATGCAGTCTCATACTCCCAATTCCTCCACTTCCGCCGCATCCGCTCCCAAAATGGGGTGTTCCACTCCCGGACATCCAGATCTCTTCCTATTTCAAGGACAATAACTTCGCCCCTCTGGTGATCGAAATGTCCTCAACCGCATCTCTGGCATTTCCTGCACTTTTACCCTCACACCCCATCCCCCCAACAAGAATAAAGACAGAATCCCCCTTGTCCTCACATATCACCCCACCAGCCTCCACATCCAGTGTATTATTCTCCGCCACTTCTGCCACCTGCAATCTGACCCCACAACCAAGGACATATTTCCCTCCCCACCACTATCTGCCTTTTTTGTAGGGATTGCTCACTCCGCGACTCCCTTGTCCGCTCCGCACTCCCCACTCACCCCACCATCCCCGGCATCTTTACCTGCAACTGCAGGAAGTGCTACACCTGCCCCTCACATCCATTCAAGGCCCAAAACAAACCTTTCATATTAGACAGGGGTTCACTTGCACATCTGTCAACTTGGTCTACTGTATCCGCTGCTCCTGATGTGGCCGCCTCTACATCGGTGAGACCAAGCGTGAGTCGGAGACCATTCCGTAGAGCATCTGCGCTCTGTACGTGACAAACGACAACACTTCCGGTCGCTAACCATTTTAAATCCCCCTCCCTGAGTGATGTGTCCATCCTGGGCCTCCTGCAGTGCCACAGTGACACCACATGCAAACTAGAGGAGCAACACCTCATGTTTTACCTCGGGACCCTGCAGCCTGATGGCCTAAACATGGAATTCACCAGTTTTAGAATCTCCCCACCCCTGACCTTATCCCATGTCCAACCCTGCCTCCTTGACCTGATATAACCTGTCCATCTTCTCTCCCACCCATCTGCTTCACCCATCCCACTGACCAATCCCCACCACACCCTACCTGCACTCACTTATCACCATCCCACCTACCTTCCCCAGCCCCCACCCCTCCTCTCTCTATTTCTGAGCTCCCTTTTCCCCCTCTCCATTTCTGACGAAGGGTCCCGACCCGAAACGTCAACTTTGCTGCTCCTCTGATGCTGCCTGGCCTGCTGTGTCCCTCCAGCTCCACACTGTGTTATCTCTGACTCCAGCATCTGCAGTTCTTGCTATCTCTGGTTTATTCAGTTATCTGCTTTTGAGAACGAGCCTGCAAGGCCACGTGAGAGGTTTTGGTAAGTTGAGCTAAAGTTTATTTATATTTCCAGCATAGCTGGCATTTCTTTTGCACAGCAGGAAAGATTCAGTTCTTCAGAATATATTTATTATCTTGTGGTGCTGTTTAATTACCATATTTTTCAATCAGTTCAGAGGGATATATTTTCTTTTGTTCAAGTTAACATTCTAATGTAGTTTTGTTTCTCAAAGCTTGCATCTGATACCAGTATACATAGTTGTGCAAGGATTGGGAGCTCCTGCAATAGTTCATGACAGAGAATCAGGGAAAAGGGTGTCTTTCCATTTAGAGATGTTATGTTGAAGGTCTCTTACCTTTTATGGGCCTTAAAGCTGTATCAGCGTCTCCACAGGTTATCCTAGAGTTCACATTTTTTCTACTGACAGATGTTAAGTCTTAAAACATCACCACGAGCCAGCAAATGCTGCCTATCGCCCAGTTAACTTTAAGGAAGCAATTAGGACAAAAAAACTGATTATTTTTGTTGTTTTTTGTGGAACCATACACCAACGTTCATCTTCCATCTGCTGATTAGCTGCACGGAGATTATAAATTTTCCGTTTTTATGGAGGAGGGAAAAGACTTGTAATTTGTACAACTTTTGAGGATCATGTAGGAAATGGCGGAGAGAAAACAATGTAGAAATACTAGGTGTCTGAATGAGAAGATAGTTTATCCTTTATTGTTCCCTTTTTTATTCACTAGGTATTTTCTTCTTCCTTTCTTCCTTCCCAGCCCCCGACAGTTTTTGTAAGTTTGAAAAACGTTCCTACTGTGACGGTACTGCCCAGTAACTGCTGCACTTGATCTACTTATTAGCTACGTTGTTTGCACATGGTGTTGTCTTTATGTTGGCCTTGGCTGAGAATGAAGTGATATTTCGCAGTTTTAAAAACACAGACTCTTTGCTTATGCTACCTGCAATCCTTGTTGCATGGATTCAGGATTTCATTGAAAAAAAATAGCTTTTGTGCATTTAACTTTGGATTCATTACACTTATTTATGGAATTATTTTTAAGCAGCAACTGGAGGGGGAAAATGTCCTTATCCTTTATTTGCCTGAAAATGCATTTTATGCCTGCTGCACAATTCAGTTCTTTCACAATGGTGTCCATAGCTGTGACAACAATTAATATCGTTCAAGTTTCAGCTGTAGGAAACAAATCCATTTGCTGATAGTGGTATAGTTGCAAGCAGTTTAGTCTACTCTGCCTGTGTCATTGGCATATTCAATTTCCAACTTCTAATATTTTGTGTGTTGTGCAAATTGAGTGTTTTTAATCTACTGTTAGCTTAGTTTTAGGAGGTGGACTTGCCTTCATTAGTTTGGAAGGTTGATTTATAATTACAAGTATTGTTTTCCTCCTACAGCTTAGAGTTCATTCATGTGTGTTATACTAACTTTTTTTTTGCAGTATTTCTGTTTGTGCCACTGGGTATGGTACTGTGTGCGCCACCTGATGTATGGATTGTTAATTTAGTAGTGCAGCTGAGAAGATTGGGAAGGAATGTCTTGACCTAACTTTATTTTGTAAGTCAATAAATCATTTAGGCAGATGTTTCAGATATTTCTAAATTGAGTGCTGTAAAGTTTGGCAGTGTTTCTAACTGTTAAAAAATTAAATCTTTATGTTGTACATCTTTGTTCATTTAAAGGAACTGAGAGAAATTCATAGCAGACAGCAACTGCAGAAACAGAAGGAAGCTGAACTTGAAAAGCAAAAGCAGAAAGAGCAAGAGCGGAGGACAGCAGAACTTGAAAGACAACATGAGAAAGAAGCTGCCCAGAGGTATTTAAATTTTACTCATTTTATGCAGTTTGGAAGCTGCTGAAAAACGTTGCCTCTCTGTTGTCATGATAATGAATACTTGATGTCCATATCAATGACTGAATTCTCTGCTACTTCATTCATTACTGTCCTTGAATTTTTTTTTGCCACGAGTTATTAATACGTTTTTGTTTTCATTTGTGAGGATAAGGATTTGTATCTTCGTTTACTTCTGATTTTCTTGCTGCTCCCCATCTGCCACTCCTGTAGTGAAGAATGTGGGGCTTGCATTTCTTTCAAGACCATGACTGATTTGAACATGCCTTGGAGATGTACAGAAGCTGTGTATTCTTGAAATAAGAGAAGTTATCATGAGTGCAGTGCAAGTAGTCAGTTGGAATAATAGAACTACAGCTGCTGTATTTGTCCTTTTTTTAAGAAAACCTACAACAGGTGATCCATGTTTGATCTCAAGCTTTCCTTCACCCTAGATGTCCTCTCCACTCCTCCATTCACAAAAATTAAAATAATGTTTGTGTACTTAGTGTCAAGGCTTCTGTAAAAACAACATATGTTTGGATGCCTTTGGAAGGGTGATAAAGAAGATTCACCAGACTGATCCTAGGGATCAAAAAGTTGATCTATGAGAGCAGTTACATTACCTTGACTTGGTTATCCATGATTTTCTAGCAACCTATTTTTGATGTTTTAACTGTGTCAGTTATTTACAAAGATTTTACAACATCACGAACACAACAGAAAACAGACCCTTTGGTCCAACCAGTCCATGCAGACCATGTTTCCAAACTAAATCTGTCCCACTTGCTTGGCCTTGGCCCATATCCCTCAAACCTTTTCTATTCATGTACTTATCCAAATGTCTTTTAAATGTTGTAACTGTACCTGCGTCCACCACTTCCCCTGGCAGTTCATTCCACACACAAACCACACTTTGTCAAAAAAGAGACCCTCATGTCCTTTTTAGAATTTTCTCCTCTCACCTTAAAAATATGCCCCTAGTTTTGAACTCACCCACCTTTAGACCCTTGCTATTCACCTTATCTGTGTCCCTCATGATTTTATAAACTTCTATAAGATCACGCCTCCACCTCCTATACTCCTGTGGAGAAAAGTGCTAGTCTCTCCTTGTAACTCAAACCCTCCATTCCCAGCAACATCCTGGTAAGTCTTTTCTGAACCCTCTCCTATTTAATAATATCCTTCCTATAACAGGGTGACCAGAACTGCGTGCACAACTCCAGAAGAGGCCTCACCAACATCCTGTACGATCTCAACATGACATCCCACTCCTATACTCGAAGGTCTGAGCCATGATGGCAAGCGTGCTAAACGCCTTCTTAAGCATGCTGTCTATCTGTGAAGCAAATTTCAAAGAATTATGTACCTGAACTCCCTCTGCTTTGCAACACTACCCAGGCTCTACCATTAACTGTTTAAGTCCTGCTGTTGCTTGTTTTACCAAAATGCAATACCTCGCACTTATCCAAAGTAAAGTCTATCTGCCACTTCTCAGCCCAGCGGCCCACTTGATCAAGATCTTAAGTGATCTTCACTGTCCACTGTACCACCAATTTTGGTGTCCTCCGCAAACTTACTAACCATGTCACCTATAATTCTCATCCAAATCATTTATGTAAATAACAAACAAAAGTATACCTAATACCGATTCCTGTGGAACACCACCGGTCACAAGCCTCCAGTCCGAAAAACAACCCTCCACTACCACCCTCTGTCTCATATTATGAAGCCAATTGTATATCCAATTGGCAAGCTCACCTTTAATCCCACTGTGATCTAATTTTGCTAATTAGTCTACCATGTGGAACCATGTCAAAGGATTTACCAGCATCCTTTTCTAGTTGGCAAGCTGTAACTAGTGGAGTGCCACAGGATACGGCCTTGGGGGCCCCAGCTGTTTACAATCTATATAATGAGTTGGGTGCAGGGATAGGAGGTACTACAGCCAAGTTTGCAGGTGGCACTAAACACATGGGAAGATAAGTTGCAATGGAAAATAAGAAATTTACAAATGGATATGGCTAGATTAGGTGAATGGGTCAAAATTTGGCAGATGAAGTTTAATATAAGCTAGAGGTTATCCATTTTGGTCAGAAGAATTAAAGGGCAATTTATTATCTACATGGAGAGAAACTTCAAAATGATTTGGTACAGAGAGATCGGAGTGTCCTTGTGCACGAGTCACTGAAAGCTAGTATGCAGGTAATACGGAGTGCAAATGGAATTTTGGCACTTATTGCTGAATGAATGGAGTATAAAAGTAAAGAATTGTACAAGGCATTGGTGTGACTGCGTCTGGAGTCCTGCGTACAGTTGTGGTCCTTTTTAATCAAATGATGTAATAAGAGTCACGTCAGTTCAGAGCAAGTTCACTATATTAATTCCAGACATGGAAAACCTTATGAGGAGAGATTGAGAAGTTTAGGCCTACACTTGTTAGAATTTAGGAGATTGAAAGATCTAATTAAAGAGTAGATCAAGATGCTAAAGTGGGTTGACAATGTAGAGCTGATGGTTCCCCTTGAGAGGAAATCTGGAATAGAGGTTTTAGGCTAAGGGGTGGCAGATTAAAAATAGATGAGGAATTGCTTGCCTTAAAGGGGCATGAATCTGTAGAATTCAGCACCCCAGAGTGTGATGGATGCTGGGGCACTGAATAATGTGATGGTGGGGTTGTGGGGCGGGGTGGGAGGTGGAAGAGACAGATATTTAACTAGAAACAGGTAAAAGGGTTTTGGGGTGTGATTATCAAAGTAAGAATTGAGGTTGAAATCAGATCAGATCTGTTAAAAGGCAGAGTATCTTCGAGGAGTTGATTTGTCTACTCATAGTTCTTGTGTTCTAAATATTATCCCCCTTTTTTCTTAAATGTTTGAACTAATTATATAAAAGATGCTTAGACATCCAGTTCCTTGCCAAGGTGATTATTATTCATGCCAGCCTGGATCAGGAGTTTGGCAAGTTTATTTGATGAGTTTCTCACAGTCAAATTTGATTGTGTTGTTTTCTCATTCTTACATGCAGACATTTCAGGCAGGTTGATGATTGGGAGTGGGTTTACTGATTTTTTTTTTGTGTTAACTCCAACTACTGTTTAATCCATTTGTAATGGTCCATCTGTTGCCCAAACTGAGATCAGGTAGTTCAGCACAAACCAGGCACCAAAGTTGAGACCTGAAGATTTGTAGATGCTTCTGTCTACTTTTCCTCAAGGAAGTTATGGTCAAATATTTTTATTAGAATTAATTTTAACTGGACTACTGTTTGAGAATTCTAATGGTTTTATATGCAGTTACTATTTTAATGTTTCCTTTTTCATACTTAGCAAACCACGAACAGACAGCAATATTAAAAGCTCAGAGAAAGGGAATCTGCAGTCAGGGAGGAACACGCAGAGGAGAGTTAACATCATAGCTCTCTTGCGAGAGAGACTGCACTTCAATAGATGGTTTAGGTATCTATATTAATAGTGAAGTCTGCTTTTAAGTGAATGTTGTCACTCTTCAGAAGATGTTGACTAGTATTATGGTATGTACAGTTCAGAGAAATCTATCCTAGAGTAATAGAAATGATGAAGTGAAAACTTATGTTGCTTCCTACAATAATCCAAAATGAATCCCACTCACAACTATCTTATTGGCTTGCATCTTGCTCTGCTTCATATGTTAATCCACTTTTCCTTTTTTTAATGGAAGACCATGGCTTGTATCGTAAGCAAACTTTGTAGTAAAGCATCCATGTTGTAATTGCTGCTCTGTCAAGAATTTCCTTCTCTCAATCTTATGCCCAATTAAATGAACAGCACTTTATGCTGAGTAGCCAACTAGCAGAAAATCTCTGCCGCTGTGTCCTTCTCAAAATGCTTCATAATTTCATCAGTTGTGTTTAATGTTAGAATTGCCTTTAATTTCAATTAACAAGTTATTTTGAATTAGTGGGTCACATTTAGAATAAATGTGAAACAATGATTTTACTTGTGCAGGAATTGAGATGCAGAGTGCCTCTTCATCTTATTGCTCACATTCTGTGTAGGTACAAGGTAAAATGGCTTCAAAAGTTTTATTAAAAACATTTTTCAAGTTTGCACCTTCGTGTAGTTGTGTTGAGTTGTTTTGCAATGGTGTTTTTTTTAATGTGATGGTTGTTAGCCATCTTTTTGTTCTTTTTCAGTAATTTTATTTTTCAGGAGCAACTTAACAGAAATATTCATTCTTGGGCAGCCAAAGGAAGAGTTCCCCGCACGTGTGAATTTAATGACTATTTCTCGTTTGTTTGCCTCCATGTTCTGTATCAGCAGTTGAAACATGCTACCACTTGAGAAATTTCACTCCAAAGTAGGGGACAGGGAGTTCATTTTGTCCTGCAAATTTGTCTCATTATATGACAACCAACCATTTACTTCAGTGAAAGAGGCTCTATTTAAAAAAAGGATAAATGTGCAATATAGAAAATGAAATAGGAAAGTTTTCTTTAGTTGGCAGGGGTTAAGGACATTTGTATGCAGGTGAAACAGGGGAATTTTGTCCTGTGAATGACCGGTTACCAGTGCAAACCTGTTCAGAAGTCTGAAAGGGTGCGATATCTATGTAACAATGACCAGAAGGATCATAAATGTAGCCAGATTTGGCATGAGCTTCAATTATTTTTAGAATAATAATTGGTGTTAGAGTTTTCTTTCTTAGTACAAGAAATGTCATGGTTTTGACTGTTATTTTGTACTGTAAGAGCCATGCCCCTATTTCTGTTTATGAAATGTTTCTTGCCAAATTCTGAAGAATGAATATAACACTTGTTTTTAGATCTGCCCAAGAACGTGATAAACTTTGGCAGGAACAAGTGCAAAGGGATGAGGATGAACGACTAAGGAATCTCCAGGAACAGCAAAATCGAAGACGGGAAGAAACCTCCCAAAAGAAGGAGAAAAGCAAGCAGGAAGTATTGAGCAGAATGTTTCAACAGCACCTGGACCCAGTGAAAGAGCAGTCTCGCAGTGGATGGCAGCCACCAGGTAGTCTCAGGCTAACTGGTATATTTTAAAGTTTGTTTCCCCCCTTCCTACAGTGTTAATTGCACTGTCATTGAGGAAAGTCTGGAGAAACTTAGGCTTTCAGCAGTACAGGTAAAGTCACCAAGTCCGATTCAACCATAGAGCTTTTCTCTCATTGGAGAGAGTGAGAGATGACTGGTGATTTAGCCAGAGGGTTATCATGCCTCAGGTAGGGGGAGAGGTTCAGAAAAGTCCTTAACTGGTATGGGAATTGAATCCACGCTGTTGGCATCACGCTGCATCACAAACCAGCTGTCGAGCCAACCCCTGACACCCTCACCTGCCCAGAAGTGGTGAGTATTAAAGAATAGGTAAAGATGGAAATTGCTTTAAATTAGGTTTGAATGCCATAAAAATTAATACTAATTGAAGACAAATTTAATACTATTATTTTCCACACAGCGATCAATGAATGGAATGAAAGATAAGAAACTACGAAATTGTTTAACCCACTAGATGATATAGTAAGACTTGCAGCTGATTATGGATGGAGAAGTAGGATCGTAAACAGCCAGAGTTTTCCATAATTACCAAGTCTGTCCTTTCTTTATGCTTGTCCAACTGTTTTTGTGTTGTGTAAGCCTGAATAGTAAGTGCTAACAAGCCACAGCAGAAGCAATAAACCTACCCAATGCTGTCTGTAATATTGTCCAGCAAGGGTCACTGCTAGGAATGGGAACTATGAATTTATCAGCAAGTTTAAGAAAGCAATCATAATGTTTGCTGCCATCCTGTTTGAGCTATGTCTGTGCAGACTACCAATTGAATGTGGGACTTCCCAGTTTCTTGACACGTTGAAGTTTTATCACTGAAGCCAGTTAGGGCATCATCATGACTCTTAGTTGTGGGTTAAGTTTGTGACAAAATCTGGATTTATTACAGCAGAACGCCAATTAAGCATCAAGCAGGGTTTGCTAAGTAGGTGTCATTTGGTGATATTGATTATTCCTATCAGAGAAGGCTGATTGAATGATAATTGGCTGGATTGGATTTATTGTTTTACATACAAAGAACATACCCAAGTAATCTTCAACATTGAGGGCATGCCATTGCTGTCACTCTGCAGTTGTTTAGCTGGAGGGGCATCTGCTTACAAGCTGAAGATAATTTTCTAATCCAGCTGTTCAGGCATATTGTTTTGCACCTCTAGAGCAGATGGTACTTGAACCCAGGTTTCCTGGTTCAGAGGTAGCGACACTACCACAAGGCCCCCCAAGGTTACAAGATATGCTATTTGACCCAGTGAATCCAGCAGTTCTGTAATGAGTAAACTAAATTGCCTGGACACGGGCTGCCATGATGGTGAGGAATTCCAGAAGAAAATAATTGGAACTGCCCACTGAGCGTTTTTAGTTTAAAAATGCTGGCAAACCCTTCAGCTTTCTATTTTGAACTGTCATGCTAGGTTCTGGTGTAGGATCAATTTAGATTGCAGATTTGGTGTTTTGAAGTGAATTGAGATTGCAACCAACAGGATTACAATAGGAAAAAGTCCATATCCAAACTTGACAGAACCCACTTTGACAAGTGGAATTCCTTCAGCAGTACTCCAGCATTGTTCAGGCTAATGTGTTACAGCTGTGGTTATTGTTCATACACTAAAGATGGAGTGAAATTTCCAAATCTTCGAGGTATGCATGCTGTAACAATAATTCTGTCTTGCTTGAAGTGGTAGTTTTGAGGAAGATCATGTTTTGTTTTAAAAAATACTGCAAAATTAATTATTCCCTATTTTTCTCCCTTCCTTCCAATAGAAAAACCTTCATCTGTAAATACTGATCAAGATGGTGTTAAGGTTGTATATTATAGAGCATTGTATCCGTTTGAGGCTAGGAGCCATGATGAGGTTACTATTTATCCTGGAGATGTCATAATGGTAAGCTCTCCAACTGTTTGAGAAACAGTTTGTGAAATATTATAAATAAAGAACTGTGGATGCTGCAAATCTGAAACAAAAATAGAAGGTGCTGGAGAAACTCAAACTCAGGCTGGACTCAAAATGTTAACTGTGCTTCTTCTTCATAGATGCTGCCAGACCTGCTGAGTTTCGGCAGCACTTTCTGTAGCTGGTGATATATAGTGGTTTTTAAGATGCGAAGCTGAACTGAACAATCTTGTTTTTACCAAAAACCAAGTTGCTGGAAAAGCTCAGCAGATCTGGCAGCATCTGTGAAGAAAAAAAGAGTTGAAGTTTCGGGTCCAGTGACCCTTCCTCAGAACAGTTCTGAGGAAGAGTCATCGGACCAGAAACGTTAACTCTTTTTTTCCTTCACAGATGCTGCCAGACCTGCTGACCTTTCCCAGCAACTTTTGTTTTTGTGCCTGATTTACAGCATCCACAGTTCTTTCAGTTTTAATCTTGTTTTTTAACTTGGATGTGTATTTTTCCCTCTAGAGTTTAAGACTTAATTATTTGTAACTATCTAAAAGAAATTTCTGTATCAATGATTTCAGTGCTATAATTGTGTGTTGTGTGACTGCATGTTGTATGATGAGTCTTCTGTTTGAGTAGCAGAAAGATTTTTGTAACAATATACTCATTTCCTGTGTAAATGCTGAAATTGTTTCAATCCTGCATTAGTATGTTATGTGAATATTATTTAGATCCATAACATTTCTCAAAGCCAGAAAAATTTCTGTAATTTAATCTATTGGCAGAAAAAAGTTCTTCATCTGTTAATTTCCACATATAATTTGCCCATTTCCTAAAAGTTTTCTTTCTATTCAATATATGCTTAAAATAATGAATGTACAGGATTATTGGACAAAAGCACTGTCCGCTCTGAAAATGTAATATCAGATTTAGATGGGGCAAAAAAACTTCTTTTAATTTGAGTACAGTTTCATCTTGCATGATTCAATTCTTCCTGCCAGCACCACCACCACACTTCATCCTTTCCCCAGAACATTTCTTGGCACTACTGGAAGTAAAGCATTTATACAGTATAAGTCTAGAAATGGTTACAGCACAGATTGATAGCTTTGAATACTCAAATATTTAATACTTCAGCTGCTAGCATTTCACAGCTGGAGCCAGAATATGGTAATGGCTGGTTTACACCACTCTTCTGGACTATTACTTTTTAAAAAATATACTTCATAGCAATTGGAGCTGTTCACTTGCATAAATCTTTGCAGCTGAAGCTGTAAGTACATAAGAGCGTCAATCATCGTTTTTGAAATATGAATTTGTGTCATAGAAACTGATTTGAAATTAGGGAATGCCTCCACAGTGAAAAGTTCTGCACTCAAACACAAATTAAAAAGCTCAGATCAAAAGGGAAATGGAAAAAATAGTTTGGATCTCTTCAGATTTTGTATTTGTCTTCATCCCACTGTAGCATCCATTCCCAGATAGATAGTTCCAGTGGTTGTATATTTGGACTGTGCTGCCTAAATATACATTGAATATGTTGAGCATCCTTTGCATGAAGAACTTCCTTTAGTTTTAAATTTGCCTTCCGCATTAATTTTAACTTGTCTTATCAATTTCATTTGACATCATCCTTTGTAATCACTATTTCTGTGCTGCTTACCACCTTCTAAATTTCATGTGACACCAATTGTACCACTGTCTGCAATCAGTTTTAATTTTTGAATTTCTCCTGGGCTATGTTTTACCACCAAATGGCAAAACAACCACATGGGTCAGATGTTAATAGTATTCCTGTCCTGTAATGGATCTGTGGGTCTGTACATCTCCCAATACCCAGTTCTAACTGTTCAAAAAAGCATTTTGAAATCCTGTCTTTCTTTGAAATGCTAATGAGATTTTGTAACTTTTGATCTTTTGCTTTCATGTTGGAGGTTAAAGGGGAATGGGTAAGTTGGTTGCAGCATTATTTGGGGGGTGGGGGCAGGTGAATTGTTTCGTGTACTTGCATAGTTTTTTAAGGTCTTAGCGAAAATTTGTAGCTTGGGTTGTGGATGCAGTTGTTCATTAGCTCGCCAAGCTAGTTGTTCTGTGGTGTGCAGATGTTTCGTTACCCGTTTCGGCAACATCATTAGTGCGACCTCTAATCGAAGTGTTAGTGTCCTGCTTCCTTCCAAATTTATATGATTCTCTGGTGTGATGGTCTTGTCGCTTCTGGTTCTGTTGTTTTAGCAGCAGTCTGTATATGGGGTCTACTTCTATGTGTTTGTTAATGTGTTGAGAACCAGGCTTCCAGAAATTCCCTTGCATGCCTGGTGTTCATCAGTCAAACTGATGGCCCTCATTGTCTCTGTGTATTGAAACAAGTGAATATTGGTCATGTCTTTTTACTGACAGTTAGTGCTCGTGTATCCTGTTTGTCAGTTTCCTCCAGTTTGTCCAACGTAATGTTTATTGCACTTGCTGCATGGGATTCTGTATATCATGTTGGTCTTGTTTGACCCCATATCTTGTCGGTATGGGGTCTTTATCTTTGATAATATTTGGCACAGTGTTGCTTCAGTATTGTATGCAATCATGATCTTATGCAGTCTTTAGGAGTCTGGTAGTCATTTCTACAATCGTTCCTATAATTCAACCGAAACTATGGGTAAGATGCATGGATAACACATTTTTAATAATTAAATGCACAAAAGTAGAAGAAACCCACCAACTTCTTCGCAAACGTAAATTTCACTGGAGAGGAAGAAAAAGTACAAACAGCTCTTGTTTTTAAATATAATGATAGAGAGACTGACTAACGGCGAATTCCAGACTCAAGCATACAGGAAGGCCACACACACGGACCAAATCCTTAACTTCAACAGCAGCCATCCCACTATACATTAACAGAGCTGCATCAAGACATTATTTAAACGAGCCGCATCACACTGCAACACCTGGAGAATGGAAGAGGAACACCTACACCAAGTTTGGACGGACAGTGGATACCCAAGAAGCTTCGTCAGCAGATGCCTATAAAACAAAATGACAGTCCGAGGACACGGTACAACAGAAGACACGAGCAACACTATCCTGCATCAAAAATTATTTCAGAAATGACTACCAGACTCCTAAGACCACATAAGATCATGATTGCACACAAACCTAAAGCAACACTGTGCCAAATGTTATCAAAGACTAAAGACCCCATACTGACAGCAAGCAAGACCAATGTGATATACAGAATCCCATGCAGCGAGTGCAATAAGCATTACGTTGGACAAACAGGGAGGAAGCTGACGACCAGGATACACAAACACCAGCTGGCAGTAAAAAGACACGACCAATATCCACTTGTCTCAACACACACAGACAATGAGGGCCGTCAGTTCAACTGGGACAAAGTGACCATACTGGGACAAGCGAACACCAGACATACAAGGGAATTTCTGGAAGCCTGGTTCTCAACATGGGACTCCGTTAACCAACACATGGAAATGGACACCGTATACGTAATGCTGCTAAAACAACAGTACCGGAAGTGACAAGACCATCACACCAGAGGATCATGTAAATCCAGAAGGAAGCAGAACACCAAAGCTTCGATTAGAGGTCACACTGATGTTGCCTAGCAGAGTAACGAAACGTGTGCAGACCACAGAACAACCGGCTCGGCGAGCTAACGAACAACTTGCATAGTTTTCTCTGCACTAGGACTCGTGAAATAATGTGATGGGCCCTTGTTTATCATGGCTACATCAAAATATGTTTTAAAGTTTGAGATTTTTATTTCTTCTGGGTTTGAATTTGGAATTTCCAAACAAATTTTCGGTCAAACTTGAAATCCATGCCCTTATGATGAATATTGTACTTGTTGTACTCAGCTGTTGGTGCTTACTGTTCATGTGAATTATTGATTACTGGCACAATGATACGTTCAGACTGATCTGAATGCTGATATTGTGTAACAATACTTACATCTGGGCAGATATACTGGGTTGTTTCCAAGGTGTACGTTTTTGAAAAAGAGGTTTTAACCAAGCTTTTCATAATGTACATAACAGGACAATTTGTGAGGAATGCCAATGTAAGGCAGGAATAACATTTTGTACTGTATGTTAAGAGATTTGTTGTTTGTTTGTTTGTTTTTTGTTTTAGTGAGTAGTTTCTTAATTGGATGTGTTGCCATTGGAGATTTACCAAGTAAAAGGTCAAGTCACCATAGTCCCACAGCACCATAGGGCTGCACTCTTCTCATTAGAAGGAGATGACTGCTGGTGATTTAACTTGAGGGTCATCATACCTAAAGTGAGGGGAGAAGTTGAGAAGGTGGGACCTTCAAGGTGTAAGATAAGTGATGACTCACAGTTGACTGTCAAGCAGTGTTAAAATTTTAAACCAGGCGTGGTTTCTTATGAGTCAACAAACTGCCTGAGAAATTAACCAGAGAATGGCAATCTGTCACCTATTTTGTTGAGTTAGCTTATTGAGAACCTATATCACAGTGTGCTTTTTTTTCTTACTGCAAAGAACAAGGCCCTGTATATTTATATATGTAACTTCCAACCAAAAACTTGTGACCTAAAGAAGAGATGGTGACCGGAAGGAGCACAGAGCATACAGCAAATCACTGATAGTCGGGGCGATTGGACAGCATTTGCTAAATAATGCTGACCATGCAAAGAACTGACAACTATTTTAGGGTTGTCTGGCTGGCTCACAGTGTGGCACACTTGTACATGCTGGAAGCTGCGTATTGATACTTGGGCTACTGTCCTTTGCAGACAGTGAAAACATGTATGCATAAGGCTCCTCCTACAATTCAACAAAGTAGGCGACAGCCATTTCCGAGTTCACATTTCTCAGAGCAATGCCTTGATTAATCCAGAGCCCACCTAACTGGTCTAACATTTTAAACAAAGCTTGGCAATTAACTGTTAGTCATCTAACTGCTGGATCTTCCAGCGGCAATATTTCTACCCAGGACAGCATACTTGCTGGGTAGAAATATTGCAGCTGGAAGGACAGTAGCCTAAGTCGGCCTAAGTATCAATATGCAGCTTCCAGCATGTACAAGTGTGCCACACTGTGAGCCAGCCAGACAACCCTAAAATAGTTGTCAGTTCTTTGCATGGTCAGCATTATTTAGCAAATGCTGTCCAATCGCCCCGACTATCAGTGATTTGCTGTATGCTCTGTGCTCCTTCCGGTCACCATCTCTTCTTTAGGTCACAAGTTTTTGGTTGGAAGTTACATATATAAATATACAGGGCCTTGTTCTTTGCAGTAAGAAAAAAAAGCACACTGTGATATAGGTTCTCAATAAGCTAACTCAACAAAATAGGTGACAGATTGCCATTCTCTGGTTAATTTCTCAGGCAGTTTGTTGACTCATAAGAAACCACGCCTAGTTTAAAATTTTAACACTGCTTGACCGCATACTTGCTGTCCATTCTGTACAGCTAAACATTTTCCATTTACCTTGGTGTTTCTTGCAAAATGTCCTGGATGAGTAGAAGACAAAAAGCTTCAACAACATGTCTTTGTTCGGTAATGTACTCATATTCTATACTACAAAACAACTAAAGACATATACCCGGGATTCAAATTTGAAGTGTAACTCTCTAAATTGGTTGTAATGTTTAGCTGAGTGATGACTGTTATACAGTCACACTTTATTTGTGTCCCCGAGGCAAAGGATGAAATTCTCTTGCAATTATTTATTTGTCTTGACCTAAGTTTGATTTTAGTTCCAAGCAGACGAATCTGCAACAAAATTGCCATGCGTTTAACATGAAGGGTAATTCTTAGAGCCTTGACAGGTTGCCCTTGTAGTGGAAATGCCATGATTGTGAACTGCTAACTTTCTAATGTGGAAAGTAGCTACCATCTCTTTAATTTCTTCTACCACATTTAAAAATGCCAAAACTAACAGAAAATGGCAATTAGGGAAAATTTCAAATAGGAATGAGCAGGTGCTTCTAGCAAATTAATACTTAGAAACAAATAAATTGTGCAGAGTTAATTTTGGGGTTAGTCGTTTTAATAACTGGGAATTTTATCTCCCAAATGAAGGCATATTGACTGTGTTCAAAAAACTAAATGTGGTGGTGATGAGATGGGAATGGTGCATTTTCATGTCAGTGATGTATGTTTGTGATGTCTATCTGTCATCTCACCTGCTAGCATTTCTCAAAGTCTGAGAATTCCCCCTGTCTCTCCCCCCGCGCGCGCGCATACTCCCCCCTGCCCCTGCGCGCGCGCGCATACTCCACCACCCCGCCCCCCCAACGTCTAAGTCACCCAATTACCAATGCTTTGAACAGTTGTGCATTATCCCTATTTGGAAATAAAAAATAACTTATTACAAGAAAATGAGGATCCTTAAAAAAAATTTCCGAGATGTTAAATTGTAATTCAAATGTAGTAGCTGAGGTTTAGCCAGCAGCTGCACACTGTCTCACTAGCGTTGGTTCCCGATGGGATGATTTTACCAAATTAAGGCATGCTGCCACTTTGGTACCTGGGGAGCAAAATATTGAATGCATTTGAGTCAATTAGTCTTATGATCTATGCATATTTGTGAAGTGTCAGGCAGAGTTCCATTAAAATACTTAATGTCCACTCAAAAGCATAAACAGTTTTTCCAAATTAACTGCAGTAGACTAAATTCTAATCTTGGATAAAGCTATGAGGACATTTTAGGCCCAACTCTAGCCTGCTCGTTTTGACACACTTCATGTTTTGGGCCTTGGAAATTGCACCTCACTTCAATGCTGCAAAATTGTTTTTGACAGGTGGATGAAAGTCAGACTGGAGAACCGGGATGGCTTGGAGGTGAACTCAAAGGGAAAACTGGATGGTTTCCTGCTAACTATGCAGAGAAGATTCCAGAGAATGAAGTGCCGCCGAATTTGCAATCGGGAGCGAAGCTTACTGCAAAGATTGCACCTCATACAGTGGCTGCAAGTGTTGTGCAACCAACAACAGAGCCCGCAGTGTCCTCCAATTGGGCAGATTTTAGCTCAACGTAGGTACAAGTGTGCAGTTGTCAGCTTCCTCAAATGTAACTGCTATTATTTAATTAGGGCTGCAACATCTTGGTATATAACAAGCATATTTTTCCTTGAATGAATGTACACAGATGGTTAAGTGCAAATTAAGCAATCATTTGACGTCAAAAGGCACTTTCGTTGGCACATAAGCTTTTGAAAAGCTAAAAATATTACTGCAGCCTTTGCACTATGTTTTCTAGCATTAAGATTTATTTTGTTACACTGTCAGGATTGTGATATCTTCAAAGTCTTGCTGGGGTATGGTTTCAGAGTAACACACAGCCCATTGTTAACTTGGATAGTTAAAGAAGGCTTAATGTGTGACTGATGATTAGTGTGAGATCCAGAATACCTCCTCACTTTAACCAGGTCTTTTCCTTCATGGTCACTGCTCAGTTACTCTTGGGGAAAGTGATCTAATTAAGCCCTAAGTTGTCAACATCTAATTACTTTTGAGTTTGGGTGGTCTTTAGATTTGAGGTTCTTTTCCAGCTCCTGGTCATTTTGGAAAAGTACAGTATTTCTATTGCCTTAAGACTGTGACAGTTATTCATTGACTTTGATATGCATGGATAAGTGCATGCTTTTAAAGACAAATTTGCACTTTAAACTGATATGTTAATGATTTTAATTATGGTATTTTATTTATTTTAAATTATTTGCTTCAATTTATAATAGCAATATTCTATTATGCTGTAGTTAAAGCTGCACAGTCAATCTTGCATCATTCTAAACCACAACTATGTTTAGAAAGTCCCTTCAAATAAATAGCTTTATTACCTTCAGTACAATGATACAAGTTCAAAATTGAAACCAGTATAAGCTTAATTGCAGAAGATAGTTAAATGCCAATGAATCATGTGGTAGGTACAATACTGTCAAAGCTTGACCAACTCAGGGTACAAACATTACACTTCATGTAAGAATTTGAAATCCTTGGCTCTGTGTTATTAAAATAAACTTGTCTTGAATATTTTAGTTTTGCTATACTTTGGCCATAACAGAATTGTCAGAATGTGTACTAGGAGATATTGCTGAAAATGCTATCACAGCTTTTGCTCTCATTAGGACAAATGAAAGGATACTACATTTCAAGAGGACAACAATTTATATTACACAGAAAAAGCCAACGAGTTAAAAGGAGATATGTCCGGACATTGTACCTTTATCAATTGAACAGAAGCTTTAGCACTCATATATTTTCAATGACAAAGCTGCAGCTAAACAGTGTCTATTTGCCAACCAGTCAGCACCTAACTTTTGATATTTGGTATTCTTGCATCTGTACAAAAGCTTGCGCAGCATTTTTATCAGTAATTCTCCAGTTCTGTATTACCAAGTCACTGGTTTGAACAATGTCAAAAAAGGACCAGTTGGGATGGTAATGTCAGGGGGGCTACTGCAATTATTGGTAGGAGTGTTTACATGAAGAAGGTTAAGACATGGCTGAATGAGCAATAAAGAGGTGGTAAGGTCAAGTGGAAATGGAGATTGGAGATGGGAAATCACTGAGGAATGGGATTTACTTGGTGCCAAGACCACGCATGTCTCTACTCATTGTGGGGTCTGCATGGATAATGATGAGTGACCGCATTAACAGTCATTTGAAAACCAGGCACATTGTGAAGAATGTGTGCACTGGAGCAGGAGTAGAGACCAAAGTGAGATTTGGTGGTTTGGGCAGTGCCAGTGGTGCAGTGAGTAGTCTTGCATGGATGCTTTGGTCAGTGGAACGATGTCCTCTTCTAAATCGAAGTTTGAATAAGGCCATTTTGGTATTAATTTATTTTTGTTAAAAAAATATTGTATAATAAAGCAGCTTTTCAACCTTTGTCCTTTGTTTTCACTTAGATGGCCCACAACAGGCAGTGAGAAGCCAGAGAGTGATAATTGGGATGCCTGGGCAACACAGCCGTCACTAACTGTTCCTAGCACAGGGCAACCTCGGCAGAGATCAGCCTTTACCCCAGCTACTGTGTCTGGATCATCTCCATCACCTGTATTGGGCCAGGTAAGTAGTGAATACGAAAGAGCACATTGCCTTACCATAGTTTAGGTGTGAAATATTGTTAGATGTAAAAGTGATAGGATTCAATATTAGTGTGTGACAACACTTGAAGTACCTCTGTGTTGTGGACTCAAATTCAGTCAAGGCTGAGAAAGAAGTCTCTTTAATGGCTGTAGGTCACTGAAATTACTTTGGACACTCAGCCCAACTCTTGGTATAATGGGTTCACAGCAAAAAAAATACTAAATGGGATTTCTTGCTCAGACTGAAAAGGGTTGGCTGTATGAAGGTGTTTATTTAATGCAGGATGAGCATTTTAAAACCTTTACATTGAAAATATGGAGGCAACTATTTTATACCCATCTGTCTTGTACCTTGTCTGGAGTGGGTTAGTGCTGGATCTTGGGTTTCAAACACTTTACTGTTTAAGTTGTCCTGTATTACTCGACTAAGCATGAAAATTCATCCAAATATTTGCTGTAACACTTCCATGGAACCTCTGCCAGCCCAATCTTGGTGATTCCTGAAAACTGAGCAGTTCATCCGTATACATTTGAGTGACTATTTGAGTCATAGAGATATACAGCATGGAAACAGTCATGTGGAAAATCCTAAGCCTATGTCTGGTTTATGTAGTTTACAATGATTGTCACCCCACTCAATCTAAAGTTATGATGAGTTATGTTTCCCACCGCTGACCCTTTTGAGTGGTGTGCGTTTTAGGTATCAGATGAAAAGATTGTTTGTGATGCAGTGACAATTGGATTGTCAAACATCACTCAACTGGCAAGCAGTGTATAAATTTGAACAAGATAATGGAGGGAAACATGACCATTGAACTGTATCCCTGCAAGAACTGAACAGAAATTAGGAGAAAATTGAAAACCGCTTAAGAACTTCAAACTGTTATTTTTATCTTAGGCTAGTTTGAAATAATACACTTCTTTTTCCCCTCCATCACAATAAGCATTTCATGTTTCTCTGTTAGGTTTTGCATAGATCACGGTGTTGTATTGAATTTTATACACTTAACCATTTATGGAATTACTAAAAAAAAAAGTTTTAAATACAATTTCATATGTTAATTTTGATGAATTAGAGAGTTTAATTGTTTTTGGTTCATAATTATTTGGTAAAACCTGATTTGAGTTTTGTGAACCAAATTAATACTTGAGTGTACCCCATCAGGCTTCATGAGATTGTGACAAAAGTAGTCCATGAAACTAAGCAGTGGATCAAAATATGGATTTAATTAGATTCCCTTCTTTTAAAGCAGGTGATCCCACCTGTGGCTTTTCAGGGCTTAGAAGCTTGGAAAGGGCTCTGCTTAGTCAGTGAAAGATTACTGATTAATTATCTTAAGATTCTATAAATTATCTGTTGAACCATCACATAAAAGCATTCAAGTACTTGAACAAAATATTGCTTTTCCTTATGTCATTCAGTCATTAGTGGACTGTTGATTCTTGTGGTGATCAGTAAATGCTCAAATACAGTCAGAACTGGAATACTGTATAAGACTTCCTCTTCCGAATTATTTGACAGGGGGAGAAGGTTGAGGGACTTCAAGCACAAGCATTATATCCTTGGCGGGCAAAGAAGGATAATCACCTCAACTTCAACAAAAATGACATAATTACAGTTTTAGAACAGCAGGATATGTGGTGGTTTGGAGAAGTTCATGGACAGAAGGGCTGGTTCCCCAAATCCTATGTGAAACTCATTTCAGGACCTGTAAGAAAATCCATCAGGTATGTTTGCTTGGATTTCTTTGATGTATTAACTATACTACTTCGTTTCCTCTTCCTTGATGCTGTCCTGATTACCATGTTAATATGACCGATATCAGCCAAAAATAAACCCTTAAAATTGAGAACTTGTTATCTGTAGCAATATTTGCTGTTTGATTGTCCCTCATTTTCTGAAGAAATTCCGAATGTAATTGGATTAAGAATTGTAATCTTTTGGTCTACATACTATGCATAGTTAGTTACTTGTGATCAACTTTGAGTTTTAATGAAATCAAAAGTGAAACAGCGAGTGATAGTTTTTAGCATCTGACAAAGCAAGTTAGATTCACATCGGGTGTGACTGACAAAAGTAGATGAGTAGCATTTCAAAGGGAAAGGTTGGTTAATATTCCAGGTACAGGGAGGCCAATGTTTGAGTCCTTCCAATTCGATATAGCTTTGACGTGATAGCTTCCACGTACTTTGATACCCAGATCTACCTCACTTACAACCCACCTGTCTTGCTAAATTACCAGGGAATTTCTGACATACAGTACTGGATGAGCAGCAGTTTCCTCTAATTAAATATTTACGAAGATTGTTTTCAATCCTATTCCAAAATCCGTAACACAGCTATTGATTCCATCCGTCTCCTGGGCAGCATTGTCACGTTAAACCAGTTTGTTTACAACCTTGGTGCCATATTTCTTAGTAAGATGAGCCTCCAAGATCATGTCATTCACCTGTTTCCATTTCCATAATATTGCCTGACTTTGCCTTTGTCTCAAGTCATCCGCTGCTGAGATTTGTAACTTTAGACTCGACTTTTCCATAGCACTGTGGCTGGTATCTCCCATTCTACGCTATGGATCTGTTTTTGTTTTCCCTGGAAAGAAGAAAATGTCATTACTTGGTGTGGTGTTGAGCTGTTGTCTTGAACTGCTGCAGTCCTTGGGGTGTAGGGATACCCATAATGCTGTTAAGGGAATTCTAGGATTTAGACCCAATGACAATTAAGGAAGAGTTAGATGGTTATATAGCTTTGAGGGGTACGTGTAAGTCACGGTGTTCCCGTGCTACCCTTGACCTGGGGGTATAGATCACAGGTTTAACAGGTACTGTTATATGATGCTTAGCAAGCCCCTGATCAAGCTAAGACTTGGTTCTAAAATTCCCTGTTTGTTTTTCAAATTCCTCCATCAATTGTAATCTCTTCCACTCTCCACTTCTGAGGTCTCTGCTTCTTATACTGTCCTTTAGTTAGAACAATTAAAATTGGGGACTGTCATTGGTGGCCTATCTGCGATTACCTTGGCTCCAGGTTTTGGAATAACCGCATAAATATCTCCATCTTCCGACCTTGCTTTACTCCTTTAAAACAATCTTTAAAATATACCTCTTTGACCAAGCTTTTGGTTAATATTTAGCTGAATTGGTGCCACATGTTGTGATCAACTCCAGTGATCCGCAAACTACGTATTAACTTATTCTGTTTTAAATGCTGGTTTGTTTTTTCCACATTGCATCCATTAAAAAGTGCTCATTTATGGATGCACATGAACACAGTAATTGTTAGATAAACATGATATTCTGTGGTTTATATGGCTTGGTGCGTTTGTTGTTTTCTGTTCTCCTTTGGAGGGCCGAGAATGGAAGCAGTTTCCCTTTGCTACTTGTGTCTGGTGCCATTTTTTCAGGTCGGCCTTCAGACCTGAATTGTTGAAGATTTGAATACCTGTGTGACTTAATTGACCCCTTTCCTTTCTGTGGAGCCTTGGTAACTGTGACATGACAATTGAGATTGTGCTTGCCATGTGTTACATTATAGCCACCTAATCTATATTCTGAAAATCTGCAATTATCGCATTAAAACTTTGATATATCTGGCTATTTTTTAAGCTGGAAACCAGGACCCATGTGTTGGAAGTATTTTGGAAGGGGGTGGACTCCTCTCCCTTCATACTACCCAGTGCAATGGGCTTTACATGCGTTTTTGCAATGTGTAATAAATTTGCATTTTCAAGTTCGTACTAGTCAAAGCTTACTGATTACTCTTCTTGACAATTTTATAATTGAGACCTTTTATATATTTTCTAATCAACCCGTTCAGAGATGTTATTTTCCACCTCTGGAGAAGGTGAGACTTGAACCTGGGCCTCCTGGTCAGAACACTACCACTGCATTACAAGAGCCCTTAATTGAGATGTTTATAAAACTCTAGGCACTTGATTTGAAGGTCAATCGCTGGCCAATATTAAATCATCTGATTGGGAAATACTTCTAGTTTATTGCCCTATGCCATTAGCTTTTGGATCTGTACTGGAGAGCTGGAATATAATACGTGCTATCTCAGTACGCTGAATGAAACATGAAGCTGTAAAATGCAGGCGACTTCGATTAAACAAATGTCATGCATAAGTTTACTTGAAGTCATTACACAAGGAGTTCCATAAGGAATGATTTAAGAGCACAGATTCCATATGTGGTAGTTAGAATGCATTTGGAAGCAAGCTGTCTTAACTCACTAATTTGTTCGAATTCTTTGAGAGGATGACTAAATTGGCAGATGCAGACCATCCATGGCGAGGGGTGGGGAGAGAATTTGGATTTACAGAACTGAGGCCCCATCTCTGAAAAGTAAAGTTCCAACATAGGAACATTCTTAATTTTGAAGCAGACATATTTTTCAAATATACTGCCACTGTAGCCTTCTTCAGAACTGAGAAGAACATGGGCTCAATGCCCACAGCCATTGCTTTTCCATTTGATCGTATCTCTCTCTGTAGTGTAGTCAGATTTATGACAAACAACACAAACTTCAAACTTTGGAATGACAGAATAGATGAATTAAGAGTCTGGGTAAGCCATTAGGCCCTTAAAGCCTGGTCTGCTGTTCAACAAGATCATGGCTGATCTGGTTATGTTCTTAATTCCACTGTCCTGTCTCCTCATCAGAGGGGTCAGTGCAGGCTTGATGGACTGAATGGCTTCTTTCTGTAGGGATTTTACAGAGATAAAATACAATAAACCAGACAAGTTACGATAATACGAATGTAAAGATTTTTTAAACATGTTGTAATATATCCCATTCATCCCAAGAATTATCTTTTACACATCACAAAAGCACCTCTTATACAGTATTTGCAGTGGTGAAAAACCACCACCTCTAACATTTCTGTAGGCTAAATTTAACTCTGATATCTGTTTCCAGTCTGGAAAATCTGAGCCTGTAGCTGGAGTTTTCATATACTTGAGTTTAAATGCACTTGGCTTTAAATAAGCTCTTCAGAGTTTTATCCAAACACTTTGGCCGGGGACTATTAATAAACTCCTTCTTTCAATGTACTGTCTATTTTCCATCTTCTCCCTTTCTCAGGAGCACTGCTTTACACATCCATCAGCACCAATACTTCTGAAAAACTGCCTCAAACTGAAAAACAACATTTTGTTTTAAAACAAGAGATAACACAGCGTGGAGCTGGAGGAATATAGCAGGCCAGGCAGCATCAGAAGAGCAGGAAAGTTGACATTTCGGGTCGGGAACCTTCTTCAGAAAATTTTTTTACAAGCTATTGCTGTTTCCACTAAACTTAAAAAAAAAGTGCAGAAGTTTCTAACTGAAGCCTTAATGTACAATTGCTTACCCTGTCTGGTTGTACGATCTTATGCAAATAAAAAAACCATTCATCCTGAAACTTACTGCCCGATCATGTTTTAAAAGAAATCACTATAGCTACTCTTACAAGTTAACCATCAACCTGTTTTAGACACCCAAAAGAAACTCATGTCATTACTTCAAAAAACCCCAGAATTAAAATAAATGATACTAAAAGGTATATAAATCACACATCCTTCATCACAATATTTATGATGTCAGAATCAAAGGCTTTTAGGATTAAGGTGATTTTTTAAAAAATCTGCTCTTGGAATGTGTGCATCACTGGCCAACATTTATTGTCCATCCTAAGTTGACGGTGGTCAGTCTTTTGATATTCTCTACTTCCAGAAGGCTATGGAAATTCAGTCTTCAGCTCAAGACATTTGTTGTGATTTTCAATTATTAACAACAACAGGTATGTGGGCGGCATGGGTGATGGCATTGAGGTTGGTGGTCAGCCATGGTCTAGAGTAGCCGAGCAGGTTTAAGGGGTTGACTGACCTACTTCTATGTTCCTAAGACAGTATTTCACATCTCTACTAAAAATTGAATTTTTTGGTCTAATAGTGCAAAACTGTCAAATCAATTAAATAAGGTCAAGACTGTGAGAATGTTAGCTTGTATACTATCTGTAGACAATGTGGGCTTGTTCTCCCAACAGGTCACTGCTGTGTTTTGCTTTTGTTTGTTAGTCTCACAACACTTGCCTACTTGGCTTACAAGAAGAGTCACTACTTGTGCAATGCATTGGTGGGCTACTGGAAGCTGTGGAACTAAAATACAGCCCACGGAATGCAAATTGAGTGGTATTGAGAGACCAAGTATATGAGTTTAAGATTTTCATTCTGCCCTCTCACCCAGCTTGTTTGTTCACTAAGAAAATCAGCATTTGAATAAGTCATGGGTAACAAAAAAACACTTCGTTTTCAAAATTCTCTTAAGAAGCACTCATGTTTTTGAATTTAGTTTGATGCTTGGGTAGAGCTTAGAGAAAATACTGAAGGATGGTAGGCTTTTCAGAATGCAGCTTGTTGGTAAACACGTTGCTCCTGTGCTGTTACAGACAATAGGCTGTACTTTCCAAAGAAAATACATTGCCAAGATTTCTGTGAAAACAGTACATTGATCTATTTGGCACAGTCGAAAGTCAATATCAAAACATTTTTCAGGCAGCTTATTTTGCCATTTGTGTCCAGTTGTGTTCAAGCTTGATTGTTTATTTGAATCCATTCTGAAGAACAGAAGGAAAAGATTTAGAACTCATGACTGTTCTGGATTTGGAAGAAAATGAAGCTTTTGTTTGAGACTGAAAGTTCTCCACTATGTTGGGGACATGGATAATTGACTCATATAAAGCAACACAGAACAAATTGGACATTATAGACACTGATTTATTGTGAAATTTTGGGTGTCTGTTGCCATGATAAGGTGTGCATTTGTGTCTCTGATCTCCTTGAAAATTGCGGTCAACAGAAGTTCATCAGGAACAGGTGCTGAATGAAGGCTTGGCACTTGCCTGCATTGAGCTAAGTTTGAGAATTATAGATGGCTTTGACAGCTGAAGGTTGGGAGCAAATTGTCAACCTCCTTGTTAACAAGATCAGTATGTGGTACTGATGCATAAATTAGAAGGAGCAAGATAGAAGTTGTAGAGGCCTTGTATTAGAAGAGTATCTTTGCAAGTATGTTTTAGATAGACCTATTTTCATAATTTAATTTGATTTGGAAGACATTTTTAAGCAATGCAATCTTTCTGAGGCACTTATTTTCAAAATTGATGCTTTAACCCACAAGTTAACAAATGTCCTCGAAATTAAAGTTTGATTCTGCTGGCCCTAAGAGCAGAAATGAGTTGATAATCCAAGTCTCCTCCACTCTGTTCCTTAAATTGCAAACTGAAAGACGAATGACTTATTTACTGGTGATTATACATAAGGTTTTTTAATATTGAAAGTTGTAGCTTTAGAACAAGTCTTCAGAACACCTGTAAAACAAATGTTATAATTCAAGATGTGACAATTACAACATAACACTTTTTTTTCTTTCCACCCCCCCCACCTCACTTAAAGTGTGGATTCTACTTCTTCTGAAAGCCCTCCCAGCTTGAAGAGAATGACCACCCCACCTTCAAAGCTGTCTGCAGCACATGGGGATGGTAAGTACATAACTGATGAACTTCGATGCTTCAAGAAAAGAGTCGTCTCAATTGTCTGCATTAACTTTAGTTTTCAACCCACTATGTGATGACAGATTTAATATGCAAAACTGAAGTAGGTAGCACTGCAGCCTAATATTTTGCTCTTAAGTCTTTATTTTTATGAATTTATTTCCTCATGATGTCTGAGGTATTTACATTAAATAGAGAGATTTCCAATTGGTTGCTGTTTCAGTCCCCTTAACACCAAGGTTTACTAAGAACAAAAGTATGTAGTGTATTGATTTGCACACATCTAAATACTAATAATAAACCAATATTAAAATATTGTGTAAAATAGTTTAAAAGTTGCTTTGGAAGGTCTAAAAAGGATAAAACCATAATTAATCAGTGACCCATCAGTTGAAAGTATAAAACATAATATTTTCCTAAACTTGTCAAACAAGTGCTGACTTAAAAGTTTATTTTATTCTTTGCAAATACGTTTCGTTGCCAGTTTAATTCTCCAGTCAGAACGGATTTGGTGCAAAGAGTTTTTTAAAAAAGGAGTTTCAGTTTGAGGATGTTGCTTGAGCTGTCTTTAGAATTTGTAGTTCTTCACCACTGTTTCGGTTGGTAGATGTAGACTGATCCTCAGCAGTGTATATTCATCTCCAGGGTCTCTTGTGGCTCATGGTGGTGTCCCTATCTCTGGGCCATAAGGTCTGGGTGCAAAGCCCACCTTCTGTGGAGGTGTCATTAATGCCCAACCAGGTTGAGTAAAAATAAACTTGTCTCTGTTGATTTGGGCATCAAAAAACATCTGCTTAACTTAGGCTAAAGTGTTGCTAATGTGAAAATTAGTCAAAGTAAGTAATTCATAACAATGCTTTTGTCAAGAATTGGAACCAGGAAAAAAAACATTACCACAATCTAGAGAACTGTCCAAAAGTATCATTGTGCATTGCCAATCAGCTAAAACCTTACCAAAGGCAGTGTTATTTTATTGGAAGTCCATGAGAAGTCCCAATTTAGAAACAAGGATCCAACTTGGAAGTTAGTTTGCATTCGTGGCTTTTTTTTTAAAAATTGGCCTTCATCTTGTGATGGCTTGTATTTGACAAATATTTAATGTTCAGCTTGGTAAAAACTTTAACCTCCAGTCCCTACTTTCAAAGATATTGCTTTTTATTTGTCTCAATTTTCCTTCCTCCTTTCTGCCTTCATTGCAAGCTATTCTACTGCTTATAATTCGCAATCCTTTTTTTTGTGCTGAATAGATCATATTAAGCAACATAAAAATAGTTCACCGGAGTGTAATCTAGTGCCTTAAGGAATTTTGAATTGATTTTTAATTAGAATCAAGTTAAACATTTTATTTCACTGTTCACAAATTCTATCATTTTGTAGTTCCCATGCAGTGCTAAAGCTGGCATTAACTACTCTACAATTATTTATTGTACATTAATAATTTTAACTTTCAGCAACTGTGATACTAGATGATAATTATCAGATGGAATAAGTCTGATTTCTTTGTCCTTCTATTCATTATCCATTGAATTAAATGAGTCTATTTAAGTCACACTTCCAAAGGAGTTGGGTCAAAATATGTATGACTTCTTAACTGTAGAAGCCCTTTAATCAATTTTATAACTGAATGTTTAAAGACTTGTGTGTAATTGGAGCATTTAGCTTCTATTCCTTAGGTCTGCCACTCATGTCTCAACAATAGTCACAGTGTCACATTTTTCACTTTCTTCTGTCCAATGGTCCTAGTCCAGTTACCATTCAGATTTTGTAGTGCTACTTAAAATTATTTTGGCAAATTTCTCACTACACACTAGTCTGTCACAGTTTGCATTCCCCTGACCTGTTTTAAAAAGTTACCTGCAGAACTTCGTCATTTAGCAGCTCTTTTTTTTTCCCCCCACGCCCCAAAAAATGAGGTGAATGATGTTGCAGGTCACTGTTGACCACACACAAGCCAGCACTAATAGGACTTGAAGTATAGATATGCTATTGGATAATTCAAATACTTTTTGTAATCTGGTTGTAAATAATTCTCTGAGCCAATGTCCCAATTGGGGTCCTAGCAAAAAGAAATTCTGGCGTTCTTCAACATAAAAATCCTTAAGAATCGGTTAATTTTCTATTGTCAGCCTGTGCCTGCTTTTTTCAGGGTAAATATGTATTGGTGAAGAGTGTGGTCTCCATTAGGTATTATCACTGGACTGTTAACCCAGAGACCCAGGTAATGTTCCGGAGATCCAGGTTCCAATTTCGTCTCAGCAGATGGTGGAATTTGAATTCAGTGAAAATCTGGAATTTAAGAATCTAATCGTGACCATTAAATTATTTTTGATTGTCAGAGGAACTCATCTGGTTCACTAATTTCCCTTGGGGAAAGAAACTGTCGTCCTTACATGGTCTGGCCTACATGTGACTCCAGACCAGAGCGATTTACTTGATTCTTAACTGCCCTCTGGGCAATTAGGGATGGGCAGTAAATGCTGGCCTAGCCCGTGTTATTGGTCAGTGCATTGAGTGTGGGGGTGGGAGGTCATGTTGCAGCTGTACAGGACATTGGTTTGGCCACTTTTGAAGTATTGCATGTAATTCTGGTCTCCCTGCTATAGGAAGTATGTTGTGAAACTAGCATGGGTTCAGAAAAGATTTGCAAGGATGTTGCCAGGTTTGGAGGGTTTGAGCTACAGGCATAGGCTGGGGCTATTTTCTCTGGAGCGTCAGAGGGTGAGAGGTGACCTTGTAGACCTTTATAAAATCATGAGGGACATAGATAGGGTAAATAAGCTAAGTCTTTTCCCTGGGGTGGGGGAATCCAAAACTAGAAGGCATGGGTTTAAGGTGAGAAGGGAAAGAAAGAAAAGGGACAGAAGGGGCAACTTTTTGACACAGGGTGGTACATGTAATGGAATGAGCTGCCAGAGGAAATGGTGGAGGCTGGTACACTTGGGACATTTAAAAGGCATCTGGATGAGTATATGAATAGCAAAGGTTTAGAGGGAAATGGGCCAAATGCTGGCAAATGGGGTGAGATTTAGAGGTTATCTGGTCAGCATGGACGAGTTGGGCTGAAGGGTCTGTTTCCGTGCACACACCTCTGTGATTCCCTCATCCTGTGAATAAATTTTTTTAAAAAATGTAGGGGACGGAACAAACTCCTATGTAGATTTGCTCAGTCGTTTAGATTTAACACTCCTGAAACTGGGTTTAGCAGTGCCAGACTGCTGAAAACAAGTGCCTACTTTTATCAACTCATTTGTGCCAGCCAGTTCTCTATCAAGCTACATATAATAACAATGCATTTTCTGTACTCTGAATCATAGTCCATTATGGTCAGGAAATCTCAAAAAATATGAATTCAAGTCCCTAATATTCAAAGTTGTTTTTCAACTTCCAAGAAAAAAAATGGATGAAGCACTAACCTCAAATTCTGGAATTTAATCTACTGTGAAATTAGAAATATTCCATTGTGCCTGTCCTGGCTAAAAATGAGCATACTGGTTTGATTTTAAAATATATTATCCTGAGTTGTAAATAATAGAATCATGAAATGTGATCCCAAAACTGATTTCAAATAAAGTGCATCTTGTGGAGCCCCATGTCGTTAAAAAGTAAATGTGTCTTTCTTAGTCACTAACTTGATCTATAGAATTCTGCAGAAGTCCCAAGTATCCACCCGCAAGATATTGTACTGTGAATTTCTCTCTTGCCCCCCTGCCTCCCCAATCAGGTTACTGCATTGTTGGTCTTTTTTTTCCTGTGTATTGTTAGCTTATAGCATTGTATCACTGTCACTACATTGTCATTGCTATTTTTGCTCATTTCTGTGCATCACTTTGACTCTTGTTGTCACTTTGCTTTATCATGCTGTACTGTTCTTTGTTTTCTGATGTCTGCTATAGAACCCTGCAGGGAGGAGGCTGCTCCGCCTCGACCTCCCTTTCTCCCAAGGAAAGGTACAGTAACTATCTCACTGACACTTCTAATCAATCAGTTGTGTTTTTGTAGCCCACTTGGAATCTTTGTTTTCTGATAAAATATCCTCAACTCAGAAGCATTTATTGATAAGTGGTGCTTTGCATGAAAGATGAAAGGGACTGACTGCCTTTTTAAAATACATGTAATGTAAATATATTTATAACTTTGTATATTTTAAATATAAATGTAGAATAATCCTAGAAATGTGCCAAAGTACAGGGTGGTAACTTTTGTTTAAAGAGGTCATCTCATCATCAGGACTACACTTAAATTCATCAAAGACAGATGAGACAATTGTGCTTTTGCTTGTCTTATTCAATAAAAATTTGTTCAAAAAATGATTGTTAACTTTATTTCAGTGCAAGCTACAAATAAAGTTTCTGCTTGGACATGGAGAATGTGCAGGGGAACCACATGCTTAACTAGTTCAGAATGCTTAAGCACTCACAACAAACTACAGATGCTTATAAACCTCTGGGTATGTTGCTGGTCTAATGAGAGTAATGGACTTCAATCTGAACTCAAAACATTTGAATTAAAAGACCAATCAGTATAAGTTGCTACAGATTGCTGTCAGTTGCCTTAAATGTACCAGGTTCCTTTGCGGTCTTGAGAGAAGGAAGCTTGTTGGCTTTTCAGAATATGGCCCACATATGATAAGCGAGGTTCATGTTTTATCTCTGAAGTGACCCAGCAAGCCAAGAAGCAGTTACGTTCAGGCCATAAATGTCGATTGTACCAACAATATTCCCATCCTGAGATTGATCATCATCTTAAAACAAAAAATCGGTGATTGAAAATCTTTTATATTTTCAAAAACAGAAATATGACCTGCATAGTTTGTGTTCAGCACCTTCAATCTCCGTACATCACACCACAACCTATCGACTGAGTGTACCAATACTTTACATGTTATCCCCTCATTCTCTTTTTGTTCACCTTTTTCTGTGGTAGGCCAAGTTTTCTCTTGTTAAACTGAAGTCATGCTTGTGGCCATTCTTGAATGCACTTATTAATTTGAAAGAAACTACACTGTGGTCACAATTATTATATGCTGTGCCCTAAATTGTCCTAAGGATCTAAAATTGACTGAGGGGGAATGGAAGCTTTGTCGAAGGGACCATCTGCGGTACCCTACAGTCTGCCAATGCTCTGTGTTTTAAAAATACCAATTAGAAGAAAAGGCACTGAAATCTTTTGCAAAGGAAGTCCTGCTGATGAGAGTTTGGAATTTCTTGTTTGTTTTGATGTAGAGCATTCTAACTTCACTTGCCTATTTAAATTACTTGGATTTCTCAATGTCAGTGAAGAAATAATTTATGAAAGGACTTGATTTAGTCAACAGCTTTTGATGTAATAGCTCGAAATACTAACCAAAATCTTGTCTGTTAAAGTTTTGGTCTCAGTTTTATCCTAATCTTTTCAACTGATTAGTGTTTTCAATAAAAATGAATCACTGGAAACACACAGCTGGTTCTGCAGGTCATGTTTTGCACATGGACCTTCAGAGTTTTGTGTTTCCAACATTGTTAATTTAAGTACAAGGAAAATTGTCAAATTGTTCCCATGTTTTTATCACAAAGTGCATGTGCAGTTTTTGTCATTTTGTCAAATTTCATTCCTCCTTTTGCTGATCATATCTCCTTGCTGGGTTCCAGTTTCACCAGAGTGGCATTGTTGTTTAAGGGTTGAATTAGGAACTTTGCTCGTGAGTGCTGGCAAACTGATGAATCGGAGTGGGAATTGCAGCCAAGCCAATCCGGTTGTTGATTTTTTTTTCTCTCTTTGGACTGCTGCATATAGTGATTAGAAACATAAACCATTGACTGATTTTCTACTCTCTAAGCCTGCAGTGCTGAAATAAATTGTAGTACATGCCCCAGCCCAAGAATTGATCCTGGTACATTATTAGCCTGCACATGTATGTGTAGACCTACTGGGTTGTTCTGGAAGATGTTGCATTGTGTTTTATTAAAATGAGATGAGTTCTTATTTCATGTGCTTTAATTTTTAACTGCCCCACTTCCAAACAGAACAATAGTATAGTGCCATTGAATACCCATTAAGCACTTAAAGGAAAATCCGAACCCAAAGTGTTGATGGTAGGCAGCAAGCATTCTGTTTCAAACGTAAAAATTTGACTTGGCTAATAGCATTGTACATATCCATGATAATTAAGGAAATTATATTGCCTTTTCTATTTGATGTACATCCTTGAATATAATCAAACCATAATGGTCCTCGTTCATTTAGATTCCAACTTGAGGGTTCCTTGCCCTTCAGAGACGGTCTTTGCTGCTTCTGGTGGAGAAGGTAACTATAATCTTCTGCCTAAACATAGATAGTAAAGTCTATGTCTTCTTGAACAATGTTGCAGCTGTGCATGTTTCTTTTGAATGTTATGGAACTACATCGGTTCCATAGTGTTTTGTTTAACTGCGAGTTGCTTTATGCTCTTGATGAAATGGATAAAAGGAAAATAATCAACTCAACAAATAGAGATTTCAGATTGAGAACTACAATATAATACACGCTGATCCCGTGTATGAAGATAAAACTACTCGTTAACAGAATTAATTAGGAGTTAAATTTTGTAAATATAACTTCAGAAACTGCTGTTATTTTCCTTTCTTAGTTTTGGCACTTCCTGACTGTTGAAATTGCATACATCATAGAAATTTAAAAACCAAAGTGTATCTGTTCTCATGTCTAAAGACATAGCAACATTGAAAAAGATAATTGTGTTAGCGTTATGTTCGCACAAGTTCCTGGAATTTGCTGCCTCTGAGTCAAGTGAATTTGAGCAGCTTAGACCCAAGGAAATTGGTGTTGTTGATTTATACTGGGCTTATACTAAAATTTCCTCAGTTATTTGTGCTACTTCCTATCCATGCTTGCTAATTCATGTAGCTCTGCCGTTGCAAATGTAAAATTTCCACAAGATTCTTGGATGCCAAGAATAAAATTTGCACTGATAAATATAAGTACAGCCAGATCTAGTCACCCTAATTGGATTTTCATATTTGTATTAGAGATATCTGGTTTTTGGTAGGGACCATCTTTGTGATATAAAAATATCTTGAGGATTTCTTTTGGTGTCTCAGGTTTTACTTTTTTTTTGTGTATGGACATCCACACTTAATGTTGTTAGTCTATATGTTTTTCAGCTTGCCCTACCACATCTTTATAAGATGTAAGTCTTTCCAATGAGTCTTTTGTACAACAAAGAGAAGAAGAGCAAAAGATTTGAAGGCCTCTTAGATTGAGGTGCTATGATAGAAGACAGCAATTTTGGAGCTATACTGGTTGTAGACAGATGTGCTTTGCAGTTCCTTTCAGGTAGAACCCCCACAGAAACCGGAATGATTTTTTTCTTCTCGACTAAAATTCAGGAAATTTGTGTGCCTCATCATTTAGAGTTAACATTTCATTCACTGGTTGCCCATCACCACAAAAGGAAAAACCTTTAATTGTTGGATGCAACCTTATTACAGACAGCCAACTCCCAGATTAAATGTCTCCTTTTGAAATGGAGGAAAACTGCGGAACTCATTTTGCCAATTTGTTTTCCTTGCTTCAAAAGAATGCTGGTTTAAAGGGGGTCAGCTAGTTCAGTTGGCAGGATGACTAGTAATGCAGAGTAATGTCAGTAGCCTGAGTTCATTAAGTGGCTGAGGTTATCATGAAGGACTCTCCTCAGCCTCTCCTGAGGTAGAATGACCCTCGGGTTAAAGCAAGTCCAGTTTTCCCTGTTTAATGAGAGCACAGCGCTACGGTCTGGTAGGGCTTCAGTGACTTTACTGCTACTTTAACTTCAATAACCACAATTTCAGAGTTTACGTTCTAGTTTCAGAATTCATCCCAGTTAATCTGTTCCATGCAAATTTAAAATGTTGATTGTAATAAATAAACTTCATAGGGGTATCCTGTTGGGACATTAGGTTTCCAAACTGCTCTGTGAACTCTGAAGCTAATTAGTACAAGATGGTTGCATGCAGAAATCCAAATATGGTTCATGTTTTTATAAAAGACTTATTTGCTAAAATGATTTTCTGTGCTTCTATCGGATGTTTTTGAGCAAGTGCACCTTTTCGCTGATCTGAAGACTTTGTTATGCATAGAGTTTCAAGTCTAGGATAAAGTTTGGTGCTGTTTGCTGATTTTGACTTTCTGGGCGGCCGTGGTAGAATCTGTAGAAACTTGCCTTTCAAATTTCCAAAAGACCTGAAAAGATATCTGGGAAAATGAGCTTTGTGTCTGAGCTTCTTTGAAAACTAGGGAAAGAAATTCAGTGAATAAAACTTTGACAAGAATCACTAGATCATTGAACTGCTGAATTCTCTCGATGGATTGAAGTGGCCTTCCCTCCAGTCACTAAGCGCAGCAACAATGAAACAAGTCATATTGAACATCTGTAAGCAATAACTAGAACCATTAAGTGCTGGCAAGTAACAGAACCCCCTTTGGCATGGATTAGGAAGTGTTTGTCTCATTTACAATTTGCAATGTCAGGGAGTATAGTCTAATTTTTTGGAATGCGTGCAATATTTTGGCTAAACAGCCATCTTGATCCAACATTTTTTTTTTGTTTCTGCACATTGTATTGGTAATTATCTACTTGAAGTGTGTTTATTAGTGGTGCTCTTCAATGTGGTGCTCTAAGGTTTGAGGTAATCCTATTTTTGGTGCCATATTTGAAATAAAAAAATTGAAATAGTGTGTAGTTTAATGAACTAATGTGTGATCATTCTTGTTTTAGTTGCACTTCACTTGCATTAAAGTGTATACTCATATATTTCTTAATTTCTAATGAGGCGCAAAGCTGTAATGTGACATGCTTATTGCCTTGAATGATTAATCAATATTTGTAGTCAATTTTAGGTAATAAGTATCTATTTTGGCCTTTATCTCGAAGTCAGGACCAAATCTGAGACTGAATCCAAGACTGAGTAGGAGAAACGAGTTAATTGTACTGTCAACAAATTGCTCTGTTCTGGTGGAAGTGCAGATGGATTAAGGAAGGGTTATTGACCAATTTGGAACAGAGAGAGAACTATTTTACTTCCATTTTTGCGCCCTGGCTTATTGAGATGAAGTCACTTTCCCACTGGCTGTCGGTGTACTGATTGAAATGAGGTTCAATAGATTGTACCCTTTCTGTTGGACATTGGCACAGTATGAATTTGCTAAATACTAGTGCCAATTTATTACAATCTATTGCAGGCCCCTTCTTCCTTTTTTATTTGGATGAAATTACATTGGTGTCCTCGTCTGAGGATGCGGAAATTAAAGGAGACGACAAGAAAAGTGTTTATTTTCTTAATGCATGAAAGTTGTTAAATAGGAATAATTGCCTTTGTTTTTAACTAGTAATATTATCATGACATTGAGCTTTCGTTTTAATATCAGGGAGTCTCTAAATGTGTAAGACAATTGGTGTGCATGGCAGCAAAATGCTGTTTTATCTCGATCTGATCAGTACACTAGTCATTATATTTAAATTGCATAGCTTTGTAGTAAGATGGAACAGTTATTTTAAGAGTAATTAGATATAATTTGAAACTAAATTATAAATTCAGTTCTGTTAGTCATGAATCTATTTTAAGAATTAAAACAACTTAATATTTCTCAGTTAATGGCAAAAAGGTACATGTTGGATTCAGTTTAACTTGATAAGTGAAAAGATGAACTTTCTAGAAAATTGAGCATTTCTTTTACGAAATTTTTGTTCTCAAAATTTCATAGCCATTAAAAAGTATTACCATTATTTGGGTTGCCATTTCCACACAAGACCAAAAAAAGGTATTGGGGTCATCGTTTCTTTTAGTCTGCATTGGTAGCACATAGTGCCTTTTGAGCAACTTTATCTTTGCCTTGCCACAAGCATTTTTAACCTTTGCAAATACAAACTAAAGTTTTCAAGAAACTGAGCAGGTCTGGCAGTTCTGAAAAATTCATACCATACACGAAAAGTTAACTCTGCCAGACCTGCTGAGTTTCTCCGACACTTTGTTTTTATTTCCAATCTCCAGTGTTCTGCGGTCATATTTTCTGACATTGTTCAAACTGCTTTCTTCTGTCCGTTTCATAGAATTTGTTGCAATGTATACATATGAAAGTAATGAACCCGGGGACTTGACTTACCAGCAAGGAGATGTGATTCTTGTGACGAAGAAAGATGGTGACTGGTGGACAGGAGTTGTAGGAGAAAAAGTAGGGGTCTTCCCATCCAACTACGTCAGACCAAAGGACTCTGAGGTGAATTATCTGTGTTGTTTCATCTTCTGTTCCTTTTAACCCACAAAGCTGCTCCTATTAATTGTGGTGCTCTGCAAGTTTAAGACTTTGCTTTCTGAGTAAAGTAACAAAAAATTGTTGTGGCAGTTATTGTACTTGCTTGCATCATTAAGTTCAATCCTGATGTTTGTACTTGTTCAGTTATGTGGTACAGTATTATTGTTTGTCAGATTACATGGTACATGAACCCATTTTCATTTGGTGGACCAATCGTCAGCTTGAAAGCAGGTAGCCTGTCTGTAATGTAGTTGAAGCCCTTAGTGGTAAGTAATGCCTAATTAAGGATCTCATTGATCACTGCAATGATTTAATGGATGGTGGGAGTTTAATATCCAACCTGACCTGTTTAACTCTGTGCAGTGCTGGGCAGTTAAAGTGGAGGGGGTTCTTTTTGTCAGATTTTTTGGTGCCATTTAGATGACCCCCATTCCTCCAACCAAAACAAAAGGCCCACTCAGGAGGACTTGTCAGTATGGCTCCAGTGAAGTTTGTAAACGTAGCTGATTGCCCATGTTGCTAAATGCCACCTCCTTGGCTTATCTTCGCAAGCAGCATTGACCCCCCCCACCCAGCTTAGGGCTGCAGGTGCGTAGAGTTGCCAGCCTCTGAGAAGGTGCTTCCTGCTGGAGGTGAATGGAAATCTTGCCTCGTGCGACTTAAAAGGCCATTGCCTGAAAATTAAAACTGGATAAGCTGTCTTAACAGAAGTGGGCTCACCTCTGACGTTTGTGCTATGTTGCAGGGAAATCACCCTCAGCATACAGTCAAGCCTCGTGTCTGCTCATATGTCTCATGGAAACAGAAAGTGGTAAATAACTAAAAAGACAGCTTTAATTTTGAATTTAACTGAGTGAATTTTACACCCAGATTCCCTGCATTAGAATCTGGATTCTATTTTTAGTAAATTATTTCCCTGGGTTTTGATTTTTGAACTTTTCTGCCTGTTGGCAACTTGAAATATATTCTAACCCATTGCAGGAGGAGTGGGAACTTATTTTTATTTCCAATCCTGTTTTCATTCCTGACCTCTGTAGTCATTTGAACAAGTTTATTCACTCGGTTGTTAGTAGCTAAAGACAAATTTTAAAACTGTGTGCATGTTAAATACTTTCAGATTAAACAGACCAGACAGTATTTTAAGTTTGTTTCATGAGTAGAACAAAGTTATGTTGCACTTAATTATTGAATTGTGTTGTATTCTTTGCAAGTGGGATAAAATGAATAAATGCTAATGATGTGGAGGTCTTATGTATTTTTTAACTACTTCTTGTGATCATGTGAAAACTGTGTTCATTGCAGGGACCTGGGCAAACTGGGAAGAGTGGAAGCCTTGGAAGGAAGCCTGGTATGTCTTTGATGTACCTCTGTGTACGATTCCAGTTTTTAAACTTGTCAGGAAATTTTTCTGAAGAAAACATCACAAATTTGGCCTTGCAAATGACCAGAAGGTTTATAGTCATAAACACAAAAAGGATTGCTGGAACAACTCAGTTCTAGCAACATCTGTGGTGAGAAAGCAGAGCTAACATTTTGGGTCCTCCTTCAGATGAACTGAGTGTTTTGCTAGGACTTTTAGGGGTCGACCACATTATTGTGGATCTGAAATCACGTGGAGGCCGTATCAGCACGCTAAATCGTGTTAGTCCCATATCTCTAACGGTCTTCGTGAACCAGATGGGTTTTATGATAATCGATGAGCGTAGTTAGTATTGTTGAGACTGTAGCTTTTCAAGGCTCACCAGTTGAATTTAAAATCCACCAGCTACCATGGTGAGATTTGAACCCATGGCCTCAGACCATTAGCCTGATTGGTCACTAAAGTAACATACTATACACCTTGCTGGAAGGAGTTTGTAGTTGTATGAGCATTGCAGGCAGGGCCTTGACTGCTCGTCTGAAATGTGTTGCCTCTGATAATACAACCTGCTGTCAGTACCACACAGTTAAGTTCCATTGAAGTTTAACAGTTGTGTTTGACCCCTCAACCTTCCAACAGAGCTGGGAATGCAATCGATTGAAGCAGGTGAATGTCACAGCCAACTGCATTCAACAATGCCCCTCAAGCAGTAATGAGCTAGATGTCTTTTGAGTCTCTTTCCAGTTGTGTAGAGGGATTAAAACATCAGGATACTGGGAGATTTTATCCTTTTAAACAGCCCAATGGAAATTTTCATGTCACTCGGAATAGGCAGATCTCTCATCATGCCTCACCACAAAACATCATTTCAGTATCAAAAGAAGGTTAAAAATTTGATTTGAGTATGATGATAAGTTGAGAATGATGCTTTGCTATTAAGAACAAGGAAGACACTGGGATTAGATGTGTGCATGATACCAAGGAGGAGACATGTATGTATTGAAAGGGAACTGGAGGCTTCTAAAGACATCATTTGTAAAATTGCTCACCTTCCTACCTCTGTGGCTGCTAGACGTTCATGGAACCTTGCAGAAAATAAATTATTATTACTAGTAGAGACTAGGTAATGTGAAGCTTTCCGTAGCTGTTTCACTTTTTGTACCAAATGATTCAAATTGGAGTTGACAGGATGGATGATAAGAAATGGAAAAACTAATCTGCACAAAGTTACTTGTGTGAATTGTAACCATGGAAGTCCCACCTAGAACAAAAGTAAATTGAATGATATTTATTTGTTTCAAAGCAAATTAGATAGCTTTCTTTGTCGAAATATTTTGGGGTAAGTACATGGGACATTGTAAGTGTAGAATGCTTTGGACGTGCAAGTGACTTTACACCTATGATTTCCTCAAGTTTTCCACTGAGGATTGGCTCTTTGCTTAATGCCTGGATCTTTTGAGTAATTTATCACAGCCCAGTTAGTCTGTTCTCTGAATAGTCAAACACTGGACATACAACTTCGACCTGTATCAGGATCCTTAAGAAATCCTGATGCGCTGGCTCCATGGACTCTGCCAGGAAACTTTGACAGATGATTCATTTGCTCCCTGGACCCTCTGAGAAAGTCTCTGAATCTAAAATAGAAAAAGCTTGGTCTAACTCCTTGGCAACTTAAACATCTGAATTGTACCCTGAGCTAACTGCACCCTTCACTCTGCTGCCTGCCTGTCCTTTTATCCACCCGTGCGTTCACCCATTCCCCAACAGATTGAAAAGGTGGTAGCCCATCCCCTAAAAGTGGGAGACCCAAGTATTTGAAGAGTTTCTTGTTGCTTTGCTGCCTGTATTGATGCCCACTTCACCCATGGAGTTGATTCTAAATCCATTGAGTTTGTCTGTCCATCAGTTGTGATGAAGAGCCACTGGACTGAAAATGTTAACTCTGCTTTCTCCCCACAGATGCTGCCAGACCTGCTGCGTTTTACCAGTATTTTCTGCATTTGTTTCAGAACTACAACATCAACATCAGTTCTTTGTTTTATTTTAATACATTAACTTGAGCTGCTTCCTTGTTGAGTGCTGTTAATTTTCAATGAGCTGACCTCAAGCAGCTGGTAGCAATACTCAAGTGTGTTGGATATGCAAGACCAAATCTTGGAGGTTCTTCCTACTGGGAATCTTCTAGCTGCAGACCTCAGTGAATCTGGCAAACTTTGCTGGTTGCATGAGACCTATATATTGGTAGTTAACAGCACAAATGTGTAAGTTCAGCTGTATAAAAGCAGTATGAATTTAAAGCCTTGGACTGAGATCCTCAACTATGAAGGTGTGACTTTTATGTTTTATAAAAACTTATGACAAAAATATCATTTACTGGCAGAAAGGATGAATGATCCTCCTTGAAAAGACTTTCTTCCTGCTGTAAGAACATTTGTGTAAAGACCGCCCCTGCGCACCCCCCCGGATAGATTTAATTCATTCTAATTAATTCATATTCCAATGTCATCTGCCTCTTCCAGAAATTGCTCAAGTGATAGCTCCTTATACAGCAACTGGTGCTGAGCAACTTACCCTGGCTCCTGGTCAGCTCATTCTCATTCGCAAGAGAAATGCTGGTGGATGGTGGGAAGGGGAGCTTCAGGTAGGTAGTGCATTCATTCTGCTGTAATTTTTCCTTGAGTGGTTTAATTCATCTAGGGCAAGCAAATATTGCTAAATGTAAATCAAGTGTTGTTTGAAGGTTTTGTTTGTTAATACATATTATTTGGGTGGTTTGTTACAGTTGCAGTTTGTAATTTGTAGAGAGGTTAAGTGAGTTGACAAAGGTTCCATTTAGTCTATCTTCTCTGAAAAGTGTACTCTGCTGAAGCTCCAACCAAGAGCAGTGACAGGCTGTTCTGTCTACATTAGCTATGTAGTGCATTGGTCCCATTGAAAACAGGGAATCTATAAACCTAGTTAGGTGGATGATCAGTATTACAACTTAAAGATATGACCTTGGAAGGTCCTTCGATATTGTGGCATTTATTCTTCCACTTCTGGGTTCCAAGTTCAGCTCAAATTAAAAACCTAGTGATTGGTCTGTTGTTTATTCTTCAGTTTGGTTTATGGCTGCACTTCTAATTATCGTCCCACGATCACAGATATATCCGTGGTATTCAATGTTCCATGGGCAGCTGCTCTCACTGCATCCTGAGATCCGCGCTCTATGCCATGCGGTGTCAAATGCACACACTCATCCTTTCTCTCCAACAGCATTGCTACACAATGGCTCCGGGTTGCACCACTCCGCAATTCCACTTCATCCTCTGGCTCGTTTGTTGTGCTAACAAGAAACTATTTCTTTTCCTTTCAGGCATCCAGGTCCACAAGATGCAACAACTCCGAGATACCCATGGCCCTCTGGAACCTTCCTCTCCTCCCCTTCCTTCTGACTGTATCCCCTCTCCCAACTCCACCTCCTGTCAGGTATTCACCATTCCTCCTAACCTTGTGTTCTCCGATGCTGAGTGTTCTGTACAGCTTTTATTAAAAACCAAAAGAACTGCGGATGCTGTAAATCAGGAACAAAAATAAAGTTGAATTCTGTGGAAGGGTCACGGGACCTGAAACATTAACTCTGTTTTTTCCTTCAAGGATGCTGCCAGACCTGCTGAGCTTTTCCAGCAACTTTGTTTTTGTTCCTCAGCTTTATTCCTCTGTATCCCCACCTTCACGAACTTTGGGCACAACATGACGTTGAACTGTTCTGCCATCTTTGCCTCTGTGCCCATTTCTTTGGACAAGAGTCCTCTCCTCTTTGTCCAGTACCAACACTTGCCCTCCGCTTGGACCCCTCCCTCTGGCCTTTTACCTGCACACGATCTGTTCATTGAGGACTGTCGACGTGATATTGGCCACCTCAATTTCTTTGCACCTTTCACCAAATCCAACCTATCTCCCTCCAAACTGACTACGCTCTGTGCACTTAGATCTAACCCTGACTTTGTTATTAAGCCTGCTGATAAGGGTGGTGCTGTTGTGGCCTGGCATACTGACCTCTACATTAGAGGCTCAGTGCAAACTCTCAGATACCTCCTCCTATTTTCCCATGGACCATGACCCCATCGTGATGCATCAGGCCATTATATCTACTACAGTAGCTGATCTCATTTCATCTGGTGATACCCCTCACTGCTTTCAAGCTCATAGTCTCCCAGCCCCGCATAGCTCGCTTCTATCTCCTTCGAAAAATCCACAAATAGGACTGTCTGGGCAGACCCATTGTTTCAGCCTGTTCCCGTCCCACAGAACTCCTTTCTTCCTCTCTCTGCCCAGTCCAATCCCTGGCCACGTACATCCATGATTCCTTTGACGCTTTATGCCGGTTTCAACACTTCCAGTTTGCAGGCTCCAGCCGCCTCTTTACGATGGATGTGCAATTCCTTTATGCATCCATTCCCCATCAGGAGGGTCTCTGGGGTCTCTGCTTCTTCCTGGAGCAAAGACCTGACCTGTCCCCACCCACCACCATCCTCCTCTGCTTGGTCGAGCTCGTCCCCACCCTCAACAACTTCTCTTGTAACTCCTCTCATTTTCTTCAGGTCAGAGGGGTGGCCATGGATACCCGCATGGGTTAGTTATGCCTGTCTCTTCGTGGGGTGCATGGAATATTCCTTGTTTCAGTCCTCTTCTGGCCCCCACCCACAACTCTTTCTCCGATTATATTGATGATATCATCAGGGCTGCTTCCCTCTCACATCCAGAATTGGAAAAGTTCATTGATTTCACTTTCAATTTCCACCCTGCCCTCAATTTCACCTGGTCTATCTCTGACTTCTCCCTTCCCTTCCTCAACATCTCTGTTTCCATTTCTGTGGATAGACTGGCCACTAATATCCATTATAAACCAACTGACTCCCACTGCTACTTGGACTGTACATCCTCACGCATTGTTTTCTGTAAAGACTCCATCCTATTCTCTCAGTTCCTCCGTCTCTGTCATATATGTTCAGATGAGGCCAACTTCGACAAAGGACCTTCCGAAATGTCCACTTTCTTCCTGAACCGAGGGCTCCCCAGCTCCATTATCAACAGGCCCCTCAACCAGGTCCGACCCATCTCCCGCACTTCCACCCTCACCCCTTCTCTTCCCTCCCGCAACAACGATAGGGTTCCCCTTGTCCTTACCTACCATCCCACCAGCATCCACATCCAGAAGATCATCAGACACCATTTCTGGCACCTCCAGACACACACATTTTCCCCCACCACCTTGTCCGCCTTCCCAGGGCCCTGGCCCACTCTTCCTTCACCCCCCACTCTTCACTCTTCACTCTTCTGTCTCCTCGGGCTCTATCCTATCTTTTACTCCCTACCCCATTCCCCTCGGGCTCTATCCTATCTTTTACTCCCTACCCCATTCCCCTCCCTAGTTTCTGCATGTAAACTAACATTTTCCCAGTTACCATCGGTTCTGAGGAAGGGTCACCAGACCCAAAATGTTAACTCTGAATTTTTTTCTTCACAGATGCTGCCAAACCTGCTGAGCTTCCAGCAACTTTGTTTTTGTTTCTAATTATCCAGCAGTGTTTTGTTTGGAATTGCCATTAGTACTGCTGAATTCAGTGCTTTATTGTTTGCTTTTGTTATAGGCTCGAGGAAAGAAGCGACAAATAGGATGGTTTCCTGCCAATTATGTGAAACTTCTCAGCCCCGGAACAAATAAAAGTACTCCAATTGATGCTGCAAGACCACCCATAACAAATGTTTGTAAGTTTGTCTTGGCATTCTCCAAACATCTTATTTTATTAGTGTGATCATCGAATAATATTAATAATCATAATATAGTAGCTTTCCAAGCTGTTTAATTCTCATTATATTCAAGTATTTTGTCATTTTCCTCATGGGAAGGAATCATTGGAGAACTGGGGCGCTTGGAAGCCAGTGTTATTAATGGGTTCTAAATGGTACATTTGTTCCACGAAAATCTCTGCACAGGTTTAGATTCCTTTCTGGAGAAGTGCTGGCTCCTAGTTTTCACATTACCCAACACAACTTATTTTTCAAACTTATAAAACTAGCTTTTCACAGTTTTTTCTTTCCTCATTCTCTGTTTTCCCCACTGCCATGGCCTGGATTTTTGCTTGAATTGCCAATCACTTGGTATTAGCTTCAGTCAGCCAACTGATTGTTAGAGGGACAGTGGGTTGCGTCTGGACTTCAAAGAGCAGTGTCAAGGCTTGGGATCTCAATGATAAGCTCAAAGCCACAAAAAGAACTACCGTGAATTTTGTAGATCTCTGACAACTGGAGGTGGTGGGCTGTAACTCCCACTTGTGTAACCCAAAATAGCTGGTGCACTGTGTATGATTTATAGTTGTAATTCCTTGTAATTGACATGTTAGATCAGTGTTTCCCAAACTCTTACCCAGTGTGACCCCATTTGACCTCAAGTGAAACCCTAGTTGGGTGGTGTTGAGTGGGGAGGGGAAGGAAATAAAGCTTTGGTTGTTGTGTGAGGTGTGGGGGAATTGTTACCTCTTGACCAGAATGGTGGGGCGACAGGAGTTGAGTGTGAGGTAACTGATGAAGAGGCAAAGTTTCTCCCCAAAAAACTGATCTACAGGCAGGTGTTTTTGTTCAGTAGTGGTCAGGTCGCACCCAGCAATGCCAAAAATCAGATTTAATAGAACGTGCAACTGTCAAAAGAAAGTCTGAGTTCCACGACAGCCATTGCTGCCTTGGAACCCGAGACCCAAAAGTTTCATCTTGCGACCCCATTGGAGATCATGCCAAACAGTTTGGGTAGCTGTGCAGAAGATGTTAGTGGCATTTAGTGGATTTTTAAGGCCTACCTAATAGAAGTAAAGACTGCATATGCAAGTGGGATAGCTGAGGACACAGTGTACTTAAAGATCTGGCTATATTTGTAACTCAGTTGTTGGGTAACCTGTTAGATCTGTTGGTGAGCCACATGCTGTGCCGACTTATCAGTTGGCTGGAAGGACACCAAAACAGGTTTACCTGTTGAGACCCCCCACACAGCGTGAATGTCTGCACAGCATGAATGTTGGGATAACGTTTAAAAAGTGGTAGTATTTACTAAAATATACCTTGTTTTCCCTTTCCATTTCTTTACTCTCATCCCTCAACAATAAATCCTTTGATAGAAGAACAGTGATAATGCTTCTGTCACCAATGGATGCAGTCCATTCCTCGTCAGTCTTTGGCAACATCCTTTGATAGCTTTCTGTTTTATGTATTTTCTCCCATATTCCATAGATACCTGTAGGCATGTGTTTGAAAAAAAGAGCAAAGGAAAGGGGTGTAATTGGAAGTACTCCTCACGTTTCCAATCATGTGCTGACAATAAACTTCCAATGCAAAAATGCTCATTGTCAGATTTCAAAAATGTATCTTAAAGTCGACCACATTGGTTAAAATGTTGATGGCCCATAAGCCAAGTGAGTACATATTGAGAATTATGATCAAGTACCTTCAATTCCTCAGTCTTGGTTTTGTTTTTGTTGTTACAAGACTCTACTATTGCAGTACAACTGTAGACTTTTGATCAGGAGAGCTGTCCAGGTCCAGTCTGTTTGTATGTGTGAATCCCTGAGAATGCAAACTTCCACTTCATCTGAGAGTGGAGTTGATCTCCGCAGTACAAATAATTTTGTCATCACTGAGCTGGGTAATCTAGGAGGTCAGACAGTTCCCTTCATATTATGTGGGAGCTATCATTGATGTATTTCTAGCCAAAGTCGTCATGTGGGTATTGAAATTTCAACAGAAGTGAAATGTTTTGGATTTATTCATCTAAAATAAAATATTTTTCCAAATCTGATGCTTTTATATCCATTTGGTACTCTGTGATCTGTTGAGTTATACTGATGCTCACACTGTTAGTACCTGGTTTTGATCAGACACCTTGTTAAAAAGGAGTTATCATGTAAATTTAATAAACCAGTAAGTTACAAGATTTTCTGGAGTTTTGTTGACCTCTGTTGCATATAAGTGATGTTTTAGTTTGAATTGCATCTTATACTCAGGCCAGTTTGGTCAAAGCAAATAAAAAAAATGGTTACTTATCGTTTGAGGTCAAAAGCAGGATCAAGCTTAGTAACTTGTACTTCAGTTCGTTGCTTGGAAACACGGCAAAGTGCAAGACCGGAAAACATGCACTCCCATTTAGTCACTCTCAAAACTCTCAATTGTTTGCTTCACCAAGTTTGCTTTGCTGCCAGTCTCAAGAATAAATTTCATTTTCTAGTGCTAAGTCCCTGTTTTTCGAAGACTTCATGTTGGAATTTCAACAATTCTACGAGGATACCAATTTCTGTTTCTGTTTTGACAGTGTTCCAGGTGATTGGTATGTATGACTACATTGCACAGAATGATGATGAACTTGCGTTTGCCAAAGGACAGATCATCGGTGTTCTCAATAAGGATGATCCAGATTGGTGGAAAGGGGAGCTCAATGGGGTCACTGGTCTCTTCCCATCTAACTACGTGAAGCTAACAACTGATATGGACCCAAGCCAGCAATGTAAGTAGCTGATAAAAATTTATTGTCTAGTCAGTAAGGAACATGCAGCATTGCTGTGATTCTGCTGTGCTGCTGCATTTAATAGTCTCTTTGAAGACCTTCTGTAAAGCAGTTTTTTTTCCATTCCCATCCTTTTTTATAGCATGCACGTTTTTATCATTTGCATCATGCTGTACATGCCCGACTCATTTCCTAGCTTGAATTTGCACATGTTTTGTTTGCTTATGTGTTGTGTTTTCCTCCTTTTTCTAGGATCATATGTTGCCCACCCCCCACTCAGGCTTGAAAGTCCTCAAAGAGACCCACTATCCCATATCACTGCCAGAGGGATGATGGGAGATGCAGCCTTGATCATGTGACTTCTGCATGATCATCAACTGGCTACTGACTAGAAGAACACTGCAGAGCAGTTTTACCTCATTTTACTTTAGTTGCGTATAGTCCTAGATATTTTTAGTTTAAGTTTATTAAAATTTTTTAAAAGGATAGTGGGTCCTTTTGTGGCTTTTGCTGCCCCAATTTATTTCGCACCTGTGGAAAACACTAGGTTTTTTTAAAGCAACCCTTTAAAATTACGCCAGACCAATTTTTTCCATTTTAAAGAAATTAATTTTAAATGCCTGCATGTTTTTGTCTTGCAAAATGACCCACTATCAAGGAATGCTGCATGTGGTATTAACTCTTCAGTATGCCCTCCTTCAAAAACATTTTTTAATTCAGCATCCGTTTATATTGAATAAATATGTCACTGTGTCCAGTATTAAAAATAATGCAAGTCATGGCCATTGTGTGAAAGGCAGAGTGTTTCTTGAAGGGGTTATTGATGCAGTTGAATCCAAGTGTTGTTGTGGTAATCCTTAATTAATCTTCAGCATATTAAGCTTTTATCGGCCAATTTCAAATAAAATGTCAAGCTGACTGGACTACAATGTTTAAGAAATGACATAATATCTTCAGGTGCAAAACAAGTGTATCTTGTGTCGTAGCCCCTTCATTTAAGTTTGCTTCTGCTTTTCAGTGTGGGAAAATGGTCATTTGAACAAACAATTCTTGACAAGAAAGAATGTATAGAAATACTATCCAATTAACTACAGTGTTTACAAATTGTAATCTTTTAGTGCATTGTATTTATACAAATTAACAAACAATGGAGCTTTTACTTAGAAATGAGACATTAAATTCAATTAAGTTCTGTGGCTCAGTTTGTCACCATCAGGTGCTGTAAGTATGAGGTTATATACATGCTAAAAGCTTATGTTCCGTTTAAAATTAGTAATTGTTTCAGGTTTTTTTTTATTCTCTGCAACATCATTGTTTCCTAAAACAAGCAGTATAAGTAGTGTTTGTTTCTCATGAGACATTTGGGTAGTGCACAAAACAATTTGAGGCTCAAATTTGGTTTCATTTGTTTGTGAAGAATTTCATTGTTATAAATATAAAGTATATATAAATATATATGGAATGACCAGTGTTAAGAGCTGGTTGTCACATGCATTCTTGAACTACATGTACAGGTAAAAGAATTAAAAGCTCCGTTTTGAAATTGACTATAATGTGTCTGTTTCTTTATTATATGTAATCATTATCAGTACTGCATTGTTACAGAGACATCAAAATCGTGTTCATGACTATTTATTCTAATCCTTTTAATACTCGGAAAATCTGTGCACTTTAAATTTCCGTCTAAACTGGAAAATTTTGTCTTTTAGATTTCAACTCATTTGAATCTTCAGAGGCAATTTGTGTAAACAAACTTTTTTTCTGGGCTGTAAAATAAATTGAATTTGAATTGAAAAAAGCATGCCATTTAAAATATCTTGTAATTATTTGAATCACCTTTTGATAGCTGCAAAAATCTCCGTGTCAGGTGCAGCAATTGCTCCTCTCAAGCATTTTGGAGTATAATGAGTTTTATTATTTTGAAATTGTACTACATACCTTTCAATAAAAATGGAATCAATCATACTGAGGTAGTTTGTAAGAGACTTGACCATTCAACTGTCAGTGCTGTTCCGTAATTATCTGCAAACCATTGCAGTTGAGACATTGACGGTTTACGTAGTGCCTTGCTGGGAAACTACCCAACTTTTTCCCGGTTTGCTGGCTGAATTTAGAAATTTTATCATCTGGGGAATGTGACTTAAATACACCCTAAATGCACATCTTATGATTTTTAAATGGAGTGCAAGTTGCTTATGATGATGGCATCCTCCAATCAGTCAGTGGAAATCGGCAAAGGTGGCTTAGCATAGTCTTGTTCCTTCTTCTGACCAGTACCCTCTACACAACATATCTGTACAGGAAAGCAAAGAATGGACAAGTTTTCAGTGTTTCAATATATCATTGGTTCAGTGTATCAAAGCTTTAAACTTTTAAGAACTTTATGCCTAATCTAATAACTCCCTTTAGTTCCTGTACTCTGACATCATTGAAATAGATGCTGTCCATTAACATTGTATCTGAACATTTTATCATAGCTGTCAATGGAGCAACATATTGTTTTGTCATCAGAGTCTGTTTTGTTTTTCTTTTGAGTTTTAAAAGACAATTTGTTGATTATTTGAGAAGATCAAATCGCAACATGGACAGATTTAAACCCAAAGACTAAAATATTGTAATATTGGTTCTGTGAAATACTTTAGGATACTAATTTAAAATTAATTTCCTTCACTATATATTACTCAACATTAAAGATATACAATGACTGCTTGGTGTGGCTTGAATCAAGGTGTTGCTTACCAGTTCTACATGAGTTCTAATCTCATCTTTTGGTGTGATATTTATACCTCATGTCACAATAGTTAGCAAATGGCAAAGATGTTTGGCAAAGCTGATAGGATTCTTAAGTCTGTTTGTGCATGTTCATTATTAAAAATTTAAATATTGTAGAAAATGTAATTCTAACTATCTGCTGAATATGTACATTAGCTAAATTCCACGTCTGTGCCATTTGACCACTTCCTAATATTAAAAGCTTGCAGCATAGGAGGCATGTACTCTGTTTGAGTGCAAATTGCTGACCTTCCAATGGAGTACTATTTAGTGGAACTGAGTAAATTAACTCCCTAATCATCAAAAAGCTAGACCACAGGTCGAGCACCAAGTAATTATCGATTACAGATAACAACTGAGTTGTTTTTTTGAATGACTGGAGTTCCTTAAAATGAATAGTAACAGTGTTACAATTCCTTGGAAATTGATCTTTTTTCCGAAAAAGAATCCTCCAGGTACTGATGAAAAGAAAATAGATAAATGAGATACTTAAAACTTCTAATGTAACAAGCCCACTAAAATCAATGTAGTTCAAACTTTAGTTAACTGATAAAAGACATTGTAAATAGTGTAAATAAGTCAACACAAAGATGTGCCTTGCCGTTACAAGCATTCTTGCTGCTTCCTACTCAAATGTGGGCAGTGATTGAAATGTGTCTATCTCATGGATTTTTTTTTGCAGGATCCTTCACTGCCCATCCAATTATTTGGGCTCAACATTTGCATTGACCAACAGCTACATTCCATCTGAAGTTCCTGGATATGATTATCATTCACGATGCGCATATCTATGAGCCCCTTCCAAGTTTGTTCTGACAGTAATCTCTCAGAATCACCAAAGATTTCCTTTACTGACTTCTTTAAATCGTTTGGTGGGCACTGGCACAATTTCAACAGCAGAAATGATCATCGTTGAATCCACAGTCTCTTCCTCCTCTTGTCACCAACCTTGTGTTCTTTCTAATTGTGCAACACATAGTAACACTGTCTCTATGCTGTTCTCAGAGGCTTATTTCAATGCTAAGATCTGTTAAATGATTGGCAAACAATACTGTTCCACTGGGGGAGAGTTATGCTTGTTTTCTCCTTGAATAAATTCAAAGTGTTAACTGTCAAAGAAAAAGCACATACTGCTCTAACCCCACTTCAATTATCTTTCTATTTGCACTTTTTGCTTCTTAGCTGTTCATCCCCCGGTCAAATGTGCACTTCTTGGAGCCTAATGATGTCATAATTCGGAAACCATGAACACACTTTTAAAATAGCCCACTTTGCTCTTCTAGGGTCTGTGCACAAAACAAAAAGGCTTTTCCCAGCACATGGATCATCACAGCAGTTGCAGAAGCAATTCAATACATCACGAAATTTGCATGTACAAATGCTCAACATTATACCTTCAGGCTTTGGTGTTTGCTGTAATTAAATTGATAGAGTCGGAGTCATAATTCCATAGACAGCCAATGAATTAACAGCGTTGAAGAGCTAGTGTACAGTACAAGTCTATTTTGTGATTAAAAGTGCTTGTCAACACAGTTTGTGTAAGCTAAGCAGCCTGCCTTCATTTCCTAAGATGTGCTTAAATTCTGGAGTGATGAAACAACCTTTCAACAGTGAGATTATTCAATCTATTTGGAACTTTCTTTCCAACTGAGCTTGCTTCAAACCTTGCCTTGGTTTTGCTTTTAGTTTTCTTCAGCCATGAGCACTTTAAATTTAGACGTCACTGCAATTAGTTAGACAACCTGGACAGCCTAGCATTTATTTTTGTCATGTGTACCTGTGAAGGCACATTTAACTTGATTTAAAAAATCTCCTCATTTCTCAGATCCTTCCATGGACTCCAACCCTCTCTATCTTTGTAATCCCCACAGTACCTCTGACGTCTGCATTCCTCCAATTCTAGCCTTTTGTACATTCCCAGTTTTCTTTGTTGCACAATTGGCACAATGTGAGGCCTTAACTCTGGAATTCCCTCCCAAAAGTACTTTCAATTTAGCATATTCCCTAGAAGTTTCCTCTCGTGGCCCAGAACACTTCTCTGGACATTTTTAGAATCATAGAATCCTTATAGTGTGGAAACAGGCCCTTCGGCCCAACAAGTCCACATTGACCCTCGGAGTATCCCACCCAGACCCATCCACCTATAACCCACCTAATCTATACATCCCTGAACTCTATGGGCAATTTAGTATGACTAATCCACCTAGCCTGCACATCTTTGGACTGTGGGAGGAAACCGGAGCACCCGGCGGAAACCCACGCAGACACGGGGAGAATGTGCAAACTCCACGCAGACAGTCGCTCGAAGGTGGACTCGAACCTGGCTCACTGGCACTGTGAGGCTGCAAAGCTAACCACTTAGCCACCATACTGCCCCCAAGTTAATACAAGTTATTGTTGCTAGATAGAAGTTCTTGGCGATCAAGGAGCAACTAAGTACATTAACAGAGATTGTTGCTTCTACAATGATAGATGCAGCAGGTTTACTCTTAAACTTGCCATAAATTGTCTATTCTTGCTGATGCTAGAGATTAATATTATAACACTGGGGTGCACAATACTTTAAAGTTAATTTGAAAGAAGTGGGATCTCATCCTACATTCACTTAACCAATTAGGATGATGATGATGCATGAAAATTTTGACCTCATTGCTGCCAAATAAATCTGATAAAAATTGAGTTGCATGGCTATCATTAAGTTGCTTAATTGTGGCCTTTAGCTCACACGTTCTTTAGCTGTGAATTCTTTTGTTGAAGGTTTCAACTAGCTGAGAATTTGTGTTGACTAAGAGCTTTTAACAAGCAAGCAATTCCTCAGTTCATTGCTATAGTCGGGTATAAGATGTTTGGGGAGGATTAGGAAAATCATCCTGAAACTTCATCAGAAAAGACTTCTTTTTTTAAGAAAAGTGATTGATTGGATTGAAAAGATAAATCAGTTAATGAAAGTGGTTCTTCCTGGACAGAAGACCTGAGAAACCAGGAAGTGCTCCAGAAATTTTAAGGCCAAGGCAGAACAGATCTGAGCATCAGAGGGTCAATAGATTTGGAAAGTTATGCAAGGCTGAAGAAGGATGGAGAAGCCAAGTGGTTCACAGCAATGAAGCAATTTGGAGATAAAGGCAAAAAAATGATATTTCAGGAACCAGTAATGATGGTGGAAATGGACAAACAAGACGACAAGATGTCATGAGCACCTAAATTTTCTTTAAATATTATGAAGAGGGATGACTTGGAAAATGGAAATGTTATACTGCCAGCATATGGTCATCCTGGATAAGTCAAATCTCCGGGTGGTGTATGGTAGATCATAACTTATTTCTGCTGTTTAATTACCATTGTTGTTCAGTCACTGAACTTATTCATATGCGAAAGAATACATTCCATACATACGAGGAAACAAAGCCAAATGAGACAATTTAGAATTATCTGAATATAAACACAAAAAAAGAAAGATTCAGCTCTTTTCCCAGTCGTATCCACTTCGGATAATCCATCCCAGTAAAGTATAATTTCTATCTTAACTCTTCAATTTCTCACATTCGTTCTTTTTTCCAACCTTTTTTTTCCCTGCTTAAAGCAGGGAATGCTTAAGACTTTTCTCAGCTGTAATGAACTGAAGACTACTTTTGAATTCTAATATCCTGGAGATTTCTGCAAGTTCTCTCATTCTGGAGATTGTTACAAACTAAACACAGTCTGGAGATTTCTGAACACTAAGTAAACTTTCCCCCACTAGGATGACTTTTCTTTGGAGCTGAATGTTTTAGTGGCC